CATTCTCGTGGCTATGGAAGCCCGCTCCGGCATGAATGAATATGGCACAAACGCCCTCATTTTTGGACATTTGCGACATCATAACTGGATCGCCGAGTGCAAGTTAGGATCTACCACAGGATTGTGTACGATTGATCAAGGAATCAAGTTGGGGTTGCTCGAATCTCGACGCAAGGGAAGTGTTGCCGATTGGGGCCGAATATCAAAGATGATATACCGAATCAGGTACGTCCAGAATTCGCAGATTGCCACGATATCAGGCCGAAGTGAAGTTATGGATGCGGCGCGTGAACTGACAAGTCTTTGACGCGTCTGTGGTGCACTCCCAGGTTGTTGATGGAAATGCAGCAGCCCTTGGTGGGTCCTGTACTTCAGACTGGAACGAGTGACTGCCTGGGCTTTCAAGCTAAAGAGTCACTGGGAACCAATGCTCTAATGCTATAGCCAACTCTGGCACGGGAAGTGAAGCGAGCGAAGACAAGAGCCTACGGCGAGACCATCTGTGTCGAGGAGAGAAAAGAATACAGAAAACGAAGGGTAGCACTGTACGCACCCCGCGCATCAGAAATGATAATGTTGAAATAATAAAAGACCTAGGAAGAATAAGAGTCTTAGGGATTGAGGACGCGCGAATGGACAGAATGGACAGTAAGAAAATATTGCAAATATATGGGAGTTCTGATAACACTGGTTGTTCTTGCCATTTTGGTCAAGTTTCACTTTTCAGCTGAAAGTAGGTAGAATAAACATCGAGACGGTAATACCTTCTGTGGTTGCTTGTTCTTTTTTTTTTCTTTCTTTCTTATTTTGAAGAAGCCCTGGGGATATTGGGGATACTCAGGATATTTTGATACTTCCCGGCACATGATGTCCACCGGTTGACGTGTGACCCCTTAGGTAATCTTGACCTCCGGCACTGCATCTCCCCCCGCCTTGTCTGCCTGTCCTCTTGGTGTCTTGAAGTCAGGGCGATTTCGGCTACCAATTGACATTCAGCCGATTCCCTCAATATTGCCTCGTTGTATACATCGCCTACGTTTCTTTCAACTTCTTGCTACATTGTGATTGTGCCTAGGCCCAACCACCCGCCATGGCGTCCCAAACACCAGCCGTTGTCATGGACAAGTAAGTTGATAGCTGCAAGGATCACAGGAATATTTGATGCTGACTCTGTACTTTTCTTTAGTGGAACTGGCTATTCCAAGCTTGGTATGTGCTGTCTGTAGTGGTTAGGGAGCTCGCGATCACAGATTAGGCTGACATGCTACCTCCACTATTCCAGGTTTCGCCGGTAACGACTCCCCCTCATTTGTATTTCCGACCGCAATTGCAACCAAGGCTGGTGCTGGAAGTACTGGAAGTTCTGGGGGCCGGCCCCCAGTCGCAAACAAGCCCTCCTTCTTAGGTGCTGGCAGTGGTAGCTCCAATCTGTCCGCGAAGCGTGGCACGGAGGACCTGGATTTCTTTATCGGCGATGAAGCGCTGGCTGCGGGCAGTGGTCCAGGATATGGTGTTAACTACCCGATCCGGCACGGACAGATTGAGAACTGGGACCACATGGAACGATTCTGGTCGAACTCGATCTTCAAATACCTGCGCGTGGAGCCCGAGGACCACTACTTCCTACTCACCGAACCTGTAAGGCGACCACTAATAATACTGTCAATCGGCTGCGTTAAACACGATGAGACCTAACATTTCTGAATTATAGCCTCTCAACCCTCCCGAGAACCGCGAGAACACCGCCGAAATCATGTTCGAGTCGTTCAACTGTGCCGGTCTTTACATTGCTGTCCAAGCAGTGCTCGCCCTTGCTGCCTCATGGACATCCTCAAAGGTGACGGACCGATCCCTGACCGGAACGGTCATCGACTCGGGTGATGGTGTTACCCACGTTATCCCCGTCGCCGAGGGCTACGTCATCGGGTCCTCTATCAAGAGTATCCCGATTGCCGGACGAGACATCACATATTTCGTACAGAGCTTGCTACGTGACCGTGGAGAGCCCGACAGCAGCTTGAAGACTGCAGAGAAAGTGAAGGAGGAGTACTGTTACGTCAGCCCCGATATTGTCAAGGAGTTCGCACGTTACGATCGCGAGCCAGACCGCTTCCTTAAGCACACCGTCACTGCGCCGAACGGGCGGAGTATAAACATCGATATTGGATACGAACGTTTCCTCGCCCCGGAGATCTTCTTCAACCCTGAAATCTACTCGTCCGACTTCCTCACCCCGCTTCCCAATGTTGTTGATGGCGTCATCCAGTCCTCCCCCATCGACGTCCGGAGAGGTCTCTATAAGAACATTGTGCTCTCTGGCGGTTCTACTCTGTACAAGGACTTCGGCCGTCGCCTACAGCGTGACATTCGTCACTTGGTGGATGCACGAATCCGTGCCTCCGAGGCTCGTAGCGGTGGCGCACGGAGTGGTGGTCTTGATGTTGCTGTTGTCACCCACAAGCGCCAGCGCCACGGTCCTTGGTTCGGAGGTAGTCTGCTGGGTCAGACGCCTGAGTTCCGGAGCTACTGCCACACTAAGGCCGAGTATGACGAGATAGGTCCCAGCATTGTCCGGCGGTTCGCGCTGCTTGGTGGCCCAGGAAGCTCGTAGGGGGAAAATGAGTGGACCTTAACATTAGATACTTGTCAATCGATGTAGCTCAGCCTTTTGTTCATAGTTTGTTTATCTCTTTTCTTTCTTCCTCCGGTGGTACTCTCTATTTTCTTTTTACCCAAAACGGCTTGGCGCCGGTGTTCATCGGCATTTACTACAGTGGACTCAAAGCCAATTTACAATGTAGGGATAATTAGTACTTAGATAGTCTATACCCTGAATATCCTAAAACAAATTTTGAAAATGAAAATGAAAATGTATTAAACAGGGTACATATCCACTATTGCCATCATGCTTTTTGACATTTTCCTCCCAGAACGCCATGAAGTATGCAATATCAGTCAAATATATAGTCCACAAAAGGCTCAAGAATACTACTTTTCACACATCCCATCACTCAAACAGTCTCAGCCTGAGGGAAAGAGGTACGGTTCAAAATAGCCACACCCTCCACATGACCGGTCTGGGGGAAGAAATCAAAGCCACGGACGCTCTCAATCTCATAGCGAACATTCTGCTTCTCATCACCCTGCACCATAACAGCGACATCACGAGCCTGGGTATGGACGTTACAGCTGACATAGACAACACGACGCGGCTTGAAATCAAGCATCTGGCGCAGGAAGTCTTCTGAACAACCCTTGCGAGGCGGGTCAATAACCAACAATGTCTGATCTGGTGGGTATGGAACGTCCTTGAAGAGAGTAGCGGCATCGGCAGCAGCGAAGCCTGTGTTGGGAAGATTGTTCGCACGAGCATTCTCACGTGCTGAAACGATGGAATCGCCTCCAATATCGACACCGAGACTGGACTTGAACAAGGGGGAGAGGGTAATTGTGAACAGGCCCGAGCCGGAATATGCGTCCAAGAGGTACTTGATTGGCTTTGCATCTTTGTCGTTGCCTGCGGGAATGGCTTGCGAGCGGATGTACTCTGTGAAGCCGGACAAAATTGAGTTGTTGTTTTGGAAGAAGGCACCTGCTTTGTTGCTGAAGATATAGTCGTCAACGTACTCGAAGGAGGTGGCGTTGTTGTCTGTGACACAACGCTTCTCTTCGATGTAGTTTTCGCGCTCAATGCGGATCACATCGCCCGTGTCTGCGTTGGGAGTGGCAGCAATCCCGCCAACAGTGGGAGTCTCTCCCTCGGCGGTAGGCGGGGCATCCTTGGGGATACGTGCGGTGGACTCCCGCATCAGGAGAGTGGCACCCCGCTTGTAAGAACGGATGTTCTCCGCAACTCGTTTCCTCTCACTGGTGAGTCCGCGACGTACAATGTCTGTTCCCAGGGGACAGTCTTCGATGTCCATATCCAGTCGTCGGTTCTTGTATGTGAATCCAATCGGGGGGACCTGCGGCTCTGCGCCATCCTCCTTAGATCCTTTGCCGGCGCCACCATGTGCGAAATGAGGCGTAAGTTTTGTGCGATATCCATATTGCATGGGCGAAGCAAAGGTTTCTCCAATGGTAGGAACAAGCTCTGGGATCAACCCAGAGAAATTGGCGTAGGCTTTTTCCACAATGCGCCGCTTGTGAGCAAGTTGGTCATCGTAGGACATCATCTGAAGCTGACACCCAGAACACTCTCCAAAGTATTTGCATCCAATCAGCGCATCGTTTCTCTTGGGGCCTGGTTCGATCACTTTGACAAAATCGGTCAAACTGTATGACAATGACTCGAAATGCTTGACCAATTTGACTCGCACGGTATCCCCAGGGACCGTGAACGGAACAACATAGACATATTTCCCATTTTCGGCAAGCGCTAGACCATCGCCTGTGGAGGAAAGCTCCACAATCTTGACATCAATCTCGGTGAATTTCTCGGGGAGGGACAGAGGCTCGCTGTCGCCGTCCTGTTCGGTTTCGTTGCGTTTGAGCAGTTGGTTGATATCGCAAAGCAGGACCTCATCATGCCCACTGCTCTTGTTGTTCTTGTCGACCTTCGCCTTCTTGCGCTTGCCGTCGAAGTGTTTCTTAGGACCGTTCTGCATTATTGCGGGGACTGGCGCATTCGTTGAACGGCGTTGATAATATAATTTGGAGGCTGGCCGCACTTGAAGAGCCGTTAGTGTCTGATAAGACAAAGAAGAAGTCAAGCGCCTAACAGATGACCGTATTGCAAACATATAAGTTGGAAAGCGACAGCGAAATAATTTCTGGGACGAAAATCATCAAATGGGAAATTTATTAGAAACGCATCTAACGCGTCGTTGATTGGTTGGAGACTGACCGCCCGCAAGAAAGAAATTCATCCCGACGCTTCACCTCCGGCTGGCCTCTTTTGCCTTTGCGTCCCCCAATTGTCTCCGCATTTCGCCTTTTTCTTTATTTTTAAAGCTCTTAACCGGCCTATTGTTGGCTGGGGAGCTCATTTCACCGTCATCATGAACGTCACACGGCCAGCACGATGCCTTTTATGCAGCTTCACCCGTGCTGCCGGCCCAAACACGCGAGTCCCTCGACGCCAATTCCATCCTACTCCCGCGCCTCTCTCGAACCGGAAACCCAAGTTCCCCAATGTTAAGGCTCCTCGTGTGGATGATTACAAGCCCTACACGGAAGAGCAGAAGGCCAAGCTCGCCAAGGAGTACTCGGAGGCACAGATGGCCGCCATCGAAGCCGGCGAAGCCGCTATCGACCCGAAGGATCTGGCAGAGCAGATGAACGAACGCAGTGATCCCATGGCATTCAAATACATCGACGACTTCTCCGTGATTGAGCCCGGCATTGATCGACACCAGCGCGCCCCGGAGTCGAACTCGGATTACAATTTCAAGCTGAAGAGCGAGGACGATTTCGTGAAGGACTTCAGTCAGTTCTTCGCCGAGATGCCTGATAACGCCACAGGTGCAGACTTCGTTAGGTTCGCGGACAACCTGCGCGTCACCCACGGCAAGGAGGAGAGCGAACTGGCCCCACACAGCGCACTTGTTCCGGATCTCTTCGGACCTGGTGAGACTGTCGATGAGCCCCGCGTGGAAGAGCAGAAGACAGCCGCCGAGAAGGGCGAGAAGGAGCGGTCAGCCGAGGCCGAGGAAATGACAGATGCCCTGAAGAGCTTGCTCCTGGCTACGGGCTACACGGAGAGCCAGGTCAAGGGCCTCCGCACCAAGACTCTCGTTTCGCACAGCGTCACCAACCAGACTCGACTAGGAAAGGTCCGCCGTGCATACCGTCTTTCCATTGCCGGTAACGCAAATGGTCTGCTTGGTATCGGTGAAGCCAAGTCCGATGAAGCCTCCGATGCGAAGATCCAGTCGCAATACCGTGCCATCCGCAACATGCAGCCCATTCCCCGCTACGAGAACCGAACCATCTATGGCGATGTTAAGGGCAAGGTCGGAGCGACAGAGTTGCAGCTGATGCACCGTCCACCAGGTATGTCTCGATTCATCACCCCAGGTGTGTTCCTTTTTTTTGCTAACAATCATAGGCTTCGGACTCCGTGTTCAATACCTCATCTACGAGATGTGCCGCGCTGGCGGAATTCACGATCTGTCCGCCCGAGTTGGTCGCTCAAGGAACCAGATGAACACAGTCAAGGCCGCCTACGAGGCACTCATGAGCCAGCGTGACCCTGAGCAGGTTGCTCACGCACTCGGCAGGAAGATTGTCGATGTGCGCAAGGTGTACTACGCCGGTAAGATTTAGGGCCCACCATAGCCTTAACTTGCTGTTTCGTCCCAGCGTGTATATAATGCTTCTCTTTTCCTCTTCTTCTTGTGTCTTTTGCATGTACTTCTATAAGTTGGTTGTTAAACATGACGGGTCATCAATTCTCCAATCCTCCAGTATTCTGGGCTATTCACAGCATATCTGGAAAATCATATGTCAACACGATTCTTTTGCATAAACACCATCTGATTCGCGCCAACCCCCAAACTTGGAAACAACACCCCGGGTATAATACGCGAGTAAACAAAAAAAAGATCCATCAAACGTAATAGACAATCTTTCATGCCTTTCTCCTTCATTGGAATGTCATATCTCCCTCCCCCTCATATCCTCCATGCTGATACTCGTGGTCCTGGAAATGCCGATCCTCATTCTGCTGTTGTTGCTGTTGCTCTTCATTCTCATTCCAGATCTGCTGCTGCAAGACAATGCTATACACACTGGCCTTGAGAAGGGTGCATACAGTCGCAGTCTTGCGTTCAAGGAGACGAAGACCATCGAGGGGCATGGAGGCAGGGGAGCCGGCGAGGTCGGCGAGTTTGTCGGAGAGCTGTGTGCGAGGCATTGATCAGCAACCAGTATAATCAATATCCATAGCCCATTTAATATTCAAGAGGGGCATTATTTATATCTTTTTCCGGTGAAGCACCTAGATTGTCCCAGAAAGAAAAGATCAATGCCAACTAGCTCTTCTCGCACGTACCTGGTTGACATTCCGTAGCAATCGAGCGTATTCTTCCAGCACTTCCTGCTCTAGATCTGATACGAGGGGATTATCGGATCCCAGGAGGGGGTTATTCGAGTGGCCTTGGCCGTGCGAGGCATCTGTATCGCCCATTGATTGTGGGATTGGAGGGGTGGAGGATTCCGCGGGGTCGACCTCAGCGTACGAGTAATCGTTGTCAGAGTCTTCGGGCGCGAAGGCGGACATCGTAGAGAGGATTCTTGGGTTCGTTTTTGGTGTTTTCTTGAAAATTGGTGTTGAGCTGTGCAAGCCGTGAGAGCTGCACGTGTGTTTTCGTGTGTGCTCTGCGGCTCCGCTGGGACGCGTTCCCCAAGCTCCAGCTTCCGCTGAGATCCGGTATCTACTGGGGTGGGTTTTATGCTTCAGAACTTATTTCAACGTCAGTCCATAGGTTGCTATTGTATGTTTGAAGTTATGGCTATCTCTACATGGTCTTTTTTTCAAAAAATCACCCAAAAAACCATATTTGATGTCTATTGGGAATATTTCACTAACACAGGTGTCATAAAAGATGCATGTACTATCAACACCTAACATTTAAGCCCTTCAATATGATCTAAAACTGTAACGAATGGTCTCATGTTATATCCTATTAATACCCCAGCTGAGACTTTTCTTATTAAAAAAAATTTCCCGACCGACTATAATAATAACAGTCTCTCAGTTCCTCGATGTTGCGAATCCTCATTCTAAGTAAGGATATTACGCAGCTGGCTTAATAGCGAGTCCACTTAGTATTTTTGAACGGAAATACATGTATAACTCCCATGAGGAGTTTGTTCTATGGAACTTTTTTTAAGTTATTCTAGAAATAGCGTAGAGACATTGAATAATGCAACTATTATTGGGTACTCCATACTCAACAACTTCGTATTCGGACAGAGTAGAGAGCATTTAACAACATTGAATATAGAATTTAAATCTAGCTGCCTTGTGAGCGAGCCAACCACACCAGCCTCGGACAAACCGTGTGGCCTTACTTGGTTGTATCCACGAAAGCGCTAGCGTTACTCTCCCAGCCGCGGCAGCCTCTCCGCGCGTTCTACTCCATACGGAGTACTCCGTACCTAAGATGAGGGTCCCAGCGAGAACCCAACTTTCGGGGGGCCCCTTTGCGCAACTATTACCGCAGACCGCAAACTACTATAATGCCGAACGTTGTGGTGCGTTATTCGCCCCTATTATGTTCCCCATTTTGACGAGAGAGAAAAGGGACCCCCCTACAAAATCTATATTGAGTAGTTATCTAACAGATATCCAGAGATAGAGAGATCCACTAGATGGGCAATTCCCATGCAGAAATTGTCGATTGAGTAGCCAGTAACGTAGAAGCTTTTAGAAGCCTAGCGAATGATCGACTCGTTCCTGAAACAAAATTATTCTATTGCGAGCAATGATTATCATGTTGCATCCTGCTGGTGTGTAGTGCATATTTTGGAGGCCTGAGAACTGTCAACACAGTTGCAAAACAATCTGTTACAGTGTGGGCACTAGCTGGGATTGTATTGGCTGTAGATATCCACAACTGAACTAAGGATTGAAGCAGACGGGAGTCCGTCGCAGTTCCCTTTTTTTCCTTCCTACTATCAACGATAATCCCCTGGGGAGAGAGGGCTTGACCGTACTCCGTATATTGGCAGAGCATTCGCACGGGCTAATCAAATTAGTTAAAGAAGCCTGAGGGACAAAGCTCGCAATTCGGTCCTACCGACCCAGTTGTCGACTAGGATGCTAGCCTTCCCAAATATCGACTGGGGCTAGTGAAGTGCTCGGGTGGATCAAGTTTGCAATATATACTTCTGTCTCAGGCGAAGTTTTAAATTGGTATTTTCCACATCATTTCCCTAATTGGTTGGTATGGGCTAGTTTCACTTCGAGTCAAACGGTTGATTGCGAAAATTACAGATCTTTCATCTCTCTGTACTCAGTCGATAGGATTATTATGTGTGAAATTCCATGTGAACTCAGAAATAATATGTCTCACCCCCGATCCAGAATTCCCCATTTAGATGTGGATATTCTTTATCGCAATCGCCTTGTGGTCTCCTATCCTGTACGAATACGGAGTAGTCCATACAAGATACATAGCACCATAGTACCATAGACGCTTTTAGGACTAGGTCCCCTGGAAATTCCAATGCCGAGAGTCTGTTTGGAGGCGAGAAACTCTAGAAAATGTCCTGCCCCGCGAAATGCGCAGGTCTTACCGCGGCGTCCAAGTCGTGCGAGCCACCTACGCCTCTACTTTATTTTACATTGAAGCCTAGTTCTACTTATATGGTTTCTAATATCGTTACATCGAGTAACTGATTTTGAAATACCAATTCGACCCATATGGCCCTGTGTGAATTTTTCGCCCTAACAACGGATTAACTCTAGTGTAGGAAATGAGCCTTGGCTTTGCGTTTTCCACATTATGATCATGTCCTTCTGGGCTCTGGAATAATGGCCTTCACCATTATCGTATATTGTGGATCATGACAACATAACCTAGAAAGGAGAGAAAGACACATTGCAAGTCGTCAAGTGGCGACCCTTACGTAGAAGGAAGAAACGAAAGCGAATACGTAAGTGTCCTTCATTGGGAAATTGGCGATATTGGCCAGTCGCCCCAGATGCGGGGCTCGAGCGGTACTAAGGCAGAAATAGAAGATCTCTTTTTTTCGTTTCGACTGTTCACGGACGTTTCATTTCTAAATTTATGGGACCTGGTCCCTTGATCCAAATAATAATAAAGTTGTCCAAGAGGTGTTTTCCTAGGGTTTGGGGTGGACACGTGTCAAGGTTTTTTCCAAGGTTGGTTAGAGGCTTTCCACTTTTAGCCCAAGTTAGGTACAATCTGTAGCCAAGAAAGGTTAGCCAGATTTATATTCAGTTGCGAATACGAATCGCCACTTTTGAATACAATGGTCTTTTTGAGTTTTTTCAGGGGAAACATAAAGGAATTCATTTTTAGGGGGGATATTCTCTGTGGATTCCATTTAGTGCTACTCCGTAGATAGTGTATAAATATTTTAAAAACGTTCCATATGTAGTGGAGTCGAGTTTTCGACTTGGGATAGGGGGATCTAAAGATCTAACCTTTCAATTTCCGACAGGGGCACCCAAGGTTTAAGCTTGTTTTAGCTCGACTTATCAAACGGGACATACAAAAGTATGGTATAGTTGACGAGATACGCGTATGGACTATCCATATTTTATCTTCGCCACAGTGCCCACAGCCCTGTCATACTGCTTTATCCAATTGTAACACATTACCCACCTCGACCTCCCCTCTTCATTCCCCATGGAGTTCTCCCGTGTCCACATCTCGGTTGGACAGTCCAATTTACACTGCCCCCTTTGTGTCGGTCCCCTGGGTCGAGAGGAACGGGATGTCTTGCGCTACGCGCTATGTAAGTCTAGGTAACTTAATAGATTAATGGGTTCATCATGCGAGTAAAAAAGCAAAAAAAGGCATGTGCCCGAGGAATTGTTTATTATAACTGTCTCTACGCCATATCCTTCCTCTATGTTCAACCTTTTGACTTGAACAATCAACGGTCATATCTCATCGGATTCTTTGGTTAATCCTATCAGATGAGTAAGATGTTCACCCCAGTTAGGGCTAGGGACAATGTGTTCTCAAGACGTGAAATCGAGGGCATGCTTGCCGATGGCAAGTTGATTATCATTGTCGACGGCAATGTTCTCAGACTCGATTCCTGGATCAAATATCACCCCGGAGGTGATATGGCCATCAAGCATATGATTGGCAAAGATGCCACGGACGAAGTCAATGCGTGAGTCTCCCAAAACCTCTCCATCCTGGTTCAATTCTATTTGCGCATTATGCTAATACCATTTTCAAAGACTCCATTCACAGGAAGCCCGTCAGCGCATGAGCAAATTCCAAATTGGCCGAATCGAGGGTCGTTGGACCAACTTCCTCCCTCCCATCCAAGGTGGCGAATTCCGCCCATTGATCGAAAATGAGATCGTTGAAGAAGACCTGGTGAGCTCAGAGCTATCAAGCGAAGAGATTTCAGCACCACCATCTCCTATTTTCGAAGCCGAAGACGACAGATTGGGCCTAAGACGCAGGCTATCAGTATCAACAATCTCCTCAGCAGTCAGCGCCGTCCCTCCACCAACAGACACTAAATCACGAGCCTATGTGATTGATGCTCGAACTCAAGAGGAGATTGAGCTGGATACATCCAAGTATCCACCTCTCGACGCAGAACACCAAGAATATATCACAAAAAAATACCGCGAGCTGCACCATCGCATCCGCGCAGCAGGACTATACAACTGCAACTACACAGCCTACGCTATCGAGATCTCTCGCTACACCCTCTTCTTTGGATTGTTCATCTTCTTCCTCAAACAGTCCTGGTTCTGCACATCTGCCTTCTTCCTCGGCTGTTTCTGGCACCAACTCGTCTTCTCCGCCCATGATGCCGGCCATATGGGTATCACCCACAACTATCAAATCGACACCACCATCGGCATGATCATCGCCGATTATCTAGGCGGCCTAAGTCTAGGCTGGTGGAAGCGCAGCCACAACGTGCACCACATCGTAACCAACGCCCCGGAGCACGACCCCGATATAGAACTGATGCCTTTCTTCGCACTCTCGCACCGCTTCTTCAGCTCCCTCCGCAGCACCTACTACGACCGCATCATGGAATTCGACGCAGTGGCCAAGATCACAGTCAAATACCAACACTACCTATACTACCCCATCTTACTCTTCGGCCGCTTCAACCTCTACTTCCTTAGCTGGGAGCACATCATCGTCGGACGCGGACCGAAGCACGGCGCGGGCTGGTGGCACCGCTGGTTCGAGTTCGCCGGCCACATCTTCTTCTGGATTTGGTTCGGATACGGCGTTGTCTGGTGTAGCATTCCGACTTGGTTCAACCGTGTCGTTTTCGTTCTGATCTCGCATATGGTGACTTCGCCGCTGCATGTGCAGATTACACTGTCCCACTACGCTATGTCCACTGCTGATCTCGGCCCGCTGGAATCTTTCCCCCAGAAGATGCTTCGCACTACTATGGATGTCGACTGCCCGCCTTGGTTGGACTTTTTCCATGGCGGTCTTCAGTTCCAGGCTATTCACCACTTGTACCCTCGTATCCCGCGACACAATCTGCGCAAGACGCAGCAGTTTGTTAAGGAATTCTGTGAAGATGTGAACATTCCGTATGCGGTCTTTACCTTCTATGATGGTAACAAAGAGGTTATTGGTCGGCTCGCACATGTTGCTAGACAAGCGAAACTTTTGGAGGAGTGTCGGAAGGCTTGTGCGGCGGATCCTCATCATATGCATTGAAGCTGTTCGCTCTTTGGCTTTTGAGATACCCATTATGTAGTTTGTATTATTTTGCAAATTGGGATCGCTTCGAATTGTGATATTATCTTGTATCGTTCAAGCGAAACGTCTATGTTTTATAGATCTTTTTTTTTCTCCTACCAATATCATTGCTCTGAATCCGAATCTCACTTCACTGTGCTCTATTATATGAAGACTTTGTCTCTACCTGCCAATCATTTACATCTAGTTTTACCCTTTAGATATGCCTTTTTGATTAACTGTTTCTGCTTTGTAGCGCTCTGATTTCCATATATTATGGCTGTTTACAGGGTGCGAAATATTACTCAGTAGCGCATTTCTTTAAGATGGGACAACTAGGCAATATGGAGACCGTCAAATAGATTGAGACAAAAGCCAAATGCTGAAATTGCATTGAGTTTCGTACACATGGCTTCACAGCAAGGGTAATCTTGAAAATGTAAATTTGAGATTGAAAACAGCACGCAATAATCAGTTGATCCATACAGATGTCACGTGGAAGACGTAACCCGAAAAAGTGAATCCATAACGCCGTTCGCTGCAAAGTAGGGTGAAAGAGCAAATGTATAGCACAGTTTTCAGGAAGACGCGCAAAGAAAAAAAACCAACAGCTCAGATGTCGATGCTATGTTGTGCCTTAATTGAAGGCGCAACTGGGAGTGATCCAAGGCTTTAGGATATGAAGAAAATGCAATATGCAAAGCAATCGACGAGCAATAAGGCATAACGATGGGACGAAAAGAAAAAAAAAATCAAATAGATCCACCAAGAAAAAAAGTCCCGAAACACTCCATACACCCAGCGAGGATTGCAATGGAAAAAGAATAGCATCTAAATACAGTCGTTAATGCATCATGATCGTCAGCGAGCCGACGCACATACGGCTGTTTTCCTCGTGTATCGGATAAGAGAAACAAGTGACGAAAAAAAAAGAACTCAGGCTTTACATATCACCCTCATGGTGGAGGGTGACACTGTTGAACTCCTCAAAGGGATCGTTGAGTTCGCCGTTCGGAGTGGCGAGGCCCGAGTCCATTGGAACACCCTTCATCTTAGTAGAATCGGTGCCGCCAATATCTACGCTAGCGCTCTCCTTGACATTGCGGAAGTTCACCGTATCGGTGCCGACACGACCCTGGTGGGGAATCATAGGTGGCTTCATGTGACGAATGAGTGCCCATTGGGTCTGTCGGAAGAAGGGGTGAGTCTTGACATCCGACGCACCAGCGCGGGCTCCTAGGCGCTTAGTTTCATCCTTGATCAGCAGTTTGCGGATCAGGGACTTGCACAGGTTTGATGTCTGCTGCACACCTGAGTGCTCTGGGAAGTTCACCTCGTCCCGCAGAATGCTGGCAAACGTCGCGTTTCGGTTCTTGCCTTTGAATGGAGTAGTGCCGTACAGCATCTCGTAAATCAAAATGCCCAGGGTCCACCAATCAACAGCGCTGGTGTGACCACAACCCTTGATCACCTCAGGTGCAATATACTCTTCCGTGCCCACAAAAGAATTGGTTCGGAAATCGGCAATACATGACTTGGTATCAATCGTAGGCAAACCTGTGGTGGAGTTACCACCACTGCGTGCGGGAATCATGGTTGGGGCACCCCCAGGTCCGGATTGCTTCGACAAATCGAAATCAGAAAGCATGATATGACCAGACTGGTGAAGAAGAATATTTTCAGGTTTCAAGTCACGGTAGATGAAACCCATAAGATGGAGATATTCCAGCGCAGCAATAACCTCTGCGGCGTAAAAGCGAGCTGCATCCTCGGAGATACTCTTGCCGGGGCGGGTTTGCAGGGCTAGAGATGCACAAGTCAGCAATAAATTCTAGAAGATGATGCTGATTATAGGATGGAAAGGTAAACACACTCCTGAAGAACTCGCCACCACTGCAGTACTCCATGCAGAGATACAGATAATCCTCTGATTGGAAGGAGTGATATAGGGTGACAATGAACGGGTGGTTGCTCGTAGCCAGAATCTCTTGTTCGGCCAAAGCTCGTTTAATCTTGTTCCGTTTGATCATTTCCTTCTTGCTCAAAACTAGCCGCAAAGTCAGTATATGGCATCGGACAGTCACCGGTATAGAAGGAAAACGTACCTTTCATGGCATACAGACGGCTCGATTTCTTCTCGCGCACCAGATAAACCTTGCCAACATCACCCTTTCCGATCAGCTTGATCTTATCAAAGCTGGCGGGGCCAACCTCCACATTTCGGACTTTGATAGAGTTCGAACTATAGGTGCGGCGGAAAGAAGCATTACTGGCGAAATCTGAGCTGAGTGAAGAAGGTATCGCCAGATTCGACTCGTCGTTGGTTAGATCTGCGAGACCCATTGATCCGCCCGACTGTTCTACGAGGGGCTCCTTGCCCAGTTCTGCTGTTTGAGGACGGTCGCCCTGACCACTTGCAAATAGGCCTTGGGCATTCGGAGCAGAAGCCACACGTCGTAACTTGCGCGCTAATTCCTCTTTGTTCGCAGTGGTCGCCTGTTCTACCGCCGAGACCCCGGTGACTTGCAGCTCAGGGGTGTCGGGAGGAGAGGATGGCACTGACCCATCATTCCGGTGTCGCAATGCTGGCTGGCCCTGGTGGGCAAAGTATGGGTTGGCGGATGCGGTAGGCGACATCGCATCGTCGAGTGGGTTGCCTTCACTAGCAACGGTTGTCGATCGATTGCGGCCTATGCCTGGCAGAAATCGAGACTGCCGGAAAGCAGACTTCTCATTCTTAGCCGCCCCATGGCTATCCCGTTCGCGTTCGGTACTCCCAGAGGCATTGGGTTGGGGAGAGTGGCTGCTTGAACTGGTGATACGGAAAAAGTTCTTGATCCTCGTAGGCAAGTGGCTAGACTCATTGGAGTGTTTTCGTGAGGGAAGGTAGAGAGCGGGGAAATTCCCGCGCTTCTCAGTATTTGTCACCGCAGACGGGCTAGAGGCGAAGAGCTGCGTCATATTGGGTGGGTCGCCGAAATCAAAATCGAGACCGAGATGACAGTCACCTAGGACCTAAAAGATGATTTGAAGGGTGCAAAAGCAAGGTATGAGGCGGGTGAAAGAGCGGTAATCCTCAGAATGCCAAGTACCGGCTGGGGATATAATCGCGCGGGGGGCAATTGTTAGTAAGAGGCGGTACAACGGGGGTTGTCCACCCAAAGAACTGAAAAGACAAAAGCCACGGAAACTAGGCTCATGGATAACACGACATGTCAGAACAAGTAAAGAATGAAGATCAAGAATTGAGAAACCAGTGGGAAAAAGAGGGAGGCAAGGAGGAATTGGAGTGGAGAAGGACCCGTGGACGCGGAGGCTAACGCTTAGTCATCTAAAATCTGGGCAGGGCAATCCACCTGCAGGGCCAGTGGACAAATGTTCATCTACGTCAGAGGTACTGAGTAGAACAGATCAGATTTAAAAAAAAAAAAAGATTCATAAAGCACTTGGAAATACCAATTAGAAAATAATCATCTCAGTATGACTCTATATTTGTCCTAAGAATTTCAGGCATAACTGAAGGAAATACGGAATTAAGGAATTAAGGCACTAGGTGGCGACATTTTGAATATAAATAACTACAAAGTACCAAGTACCAAGTACATCTACAATATACAGCACGTGATAATCATACACTTCACTCCATTGGAAGAATATCGATACATAACAATATCGTAGAAATTCTTGTTTCAATCCCTTCAATATCGTTTCCTTCCCTGCCTCAAAGAAGGTCCATGTTTCCATCCTTTTTTTTTTGGATGCTTTTCTCTTTTCTGCTCTCATTTGAAATCTGAAACACTTCGGAAAATCCGGGGACACATACATAGGCCGGGGCTGAAATCCCCAATGCCCAACTCCATGGTTGCATAGCATCAAAGGTGAGCATACGCATTGATTCTGCTGGTGTTCACAATAGCGGGTGCAGTATGTCGGACACTGGCATTAATCAACTGCGTCGAATACACAGGCAAGTAATTGGTGTTTTGGTGACTGTCTGGCGCGTCGAAACCCAGGATAGTTGTTGGAGGTACTTCGTTTCTCAAGTCGTCGAACAATCTCGATGAATTTCTGAGCGAGCGGCGAGCGTTTCGGACATTCTCACGTGCGTCATTTCTTCGGCGGGCATTCAGACTTGATTTGATCATACGAGACCCAAAGCTGCTGAGACCACCCACAGGTACATGGTGCCGACGGTGGGCACTTGACCTCGAGATCGCTCTGCTCGGGCTATTCCGAGACAATGGGCCATGCCTGCCGTATGGGCTATTCCGAGACAACAAAGGTGTATCCGACATGTCGTCTGGGTAATCCGCTCCGAAGCTATTCATTGTCAGGGTGAAGCTCCCACTGCGGCTACCATACGTCAAAACTGGACCCTCACACAAGGAAGTGAGTTTGGATGGGACTTACCTGTGGTGCGTGGCATCATGTAATTGTTCAGCTGAGAGGCGTCCTCTTCTTTCACCGGATCCTTCCACTTCCTGATCACCCTCCACGTCTACGACAAACACATCGAAAAAGTCTGGTGGAATGAGAGGCGTCTGGTAATCCACTACCTCAGTACCTCTGTACTGTCGATCAAAGGAAAGCTCTGAGAGCATCTCTTCATTCGATCCAGGTCCGGGGCTAGAATCTCTCATCGTCTGTTGCTCGTCGTCTGAACTGCTCGAGACTGGTGCAATGCAGCATTCATTTTGGGTTGCACCGTGGTTCACTTCATCCTCATTGCTGCGACGCTATGAGTTAGTATTTTTTCCAAATGCTAGCCTAGGCCAAAGAACTTACACACTGAACGCGAGGTTTGGTGTATCCCCATCCCCATCATTTCTAGCCGTGTCAGTTAGTTCGATGGCGTGCTCGTGGTCGGGCTCAGTAATGGAAAGCAATGCCAATCTCAAATTGGCGATGTTTCGGCCGAAGTTCCTAGGCAATGTTTTGCTGATACGACTTCCTTTTCTCGGACGACTTTTTGTCCAGGTCTCCTGGGAGATCCATGATACGGTTCCATTGTTTTCCACATCAGCACCAATCCCAAGAGAAAAGAGACCATTCAATCGGCTATTGGCGTCAAAGAGCGGGTCATTGCTTCCCGTAGGCACATTGCCGATTGTCCCATTCCCATCACGAAGCAACTCTGATCTTCTATCAACCTGAGTGTGATCGAAGAGTGAGTTTCTTCTGTTTCTGTTGCGATTTCCATTCACATCACCATGAATAAACAACTCTGAACTTTCATCGACCTGCATGTTATCACAGTTTGAGTACTTCCCGTTCGTGCGGCCTGTAGCATTGCGGTTGTTGTTTGTTGCTGTTAATGGTTGTCTCTGAAAGTGGATGGGATGACCAGTGCTGGGGTCAATAATCTCGATTCCACGGTTGGTGCTAGCACGCTCAACCTCATTGGTACCATCAGTCGACAGATTCTCATATGAACCACAATCGATCGTTATTCCGGGTTGTATGTGCATGTGAGTGGGATTCTGATGGGCTGGTTGGATGACAATACCTCTTGGGTCATTAGGACTGTTCATGCCAGCTGCCCGTTCACGGCGAATGAAGTCATCATGTTGATCAAGAGCGTTGAGTACTCTTGCCCGTTCGTTGATGTTGTAAACACGCAATGTATAACAAACATCACCAGGTGAAATATGTGGGTCCAACGCGATAACTTCGTTGACCTCCTCCAGATATTTTTCATGGTTCCGGAGTTTGTTATTCAGTCGTGTCTTTGCCTCAATCATGGAGTCCGGGCCGCACATCCACGCCATTCTTACATATCGAACATAAAAGTCGTCACCCGGGCAAAAGTCAAACGCGGACATGAATGACATGATCTGCGCAATTGCAGCATCCTCATAGTTAATCTGAGTCTCGATAAAAATCCATCGTTCCCGGCGCTCCTCGCCCCGACGGGTGAGCTCGTGGCGCTGCACTGCGTTTGAGGTGTGCTCAATGAACTCTGTATTGACTTCATCTAGAGGTTTGTGTTCAATCCATTCATCATACGGAACGTCCGATCCTATTGTTTGGGAAACAGCCGAATCCCGTGGATCGACAGGAGCTGCGAACTGGTGTGTGTTTGCTGGCAGAGGCCATCCCAGCTGTTCACGCAAGTTATTATCGGAATCTGTCAAAGAACGAATGATGAAGTGCTGTTGTGTTGGTCTGTTGCGGCCACTATTGACAAGCTGATCACCAACAAAGACATGTGGAACAATGGATTCATCATTCATTACAGCCAGTTGTGCAGGCGATGAGCCACCAAGATGGGGTAGCCTTCGAGGCTCCATTGCAACGATTTCTCCCCCAGCTGTGACTCGCTGGTGTGTCGGGGAGGTGTGCTTTTTCAAAAATTGAGCAAACCCTACGTTATTCGTGGAGAACACGGGCTCGGTGGCCTTTTTGCCAGTACGAGTCGGGTGGTTCTTGGGCGCTTTCGATACTGGAACTGGAGTCTTGTTCGGTCGCGATGACCTGACTGACTCTCTAGTCGGTCGATTTCTCGGGTTTTCTGAAAGGATAGGCTTCTTGCTTGGATCAGGATGCGCTCGTCTGCCTATGTGGATGGTCAACAAGGTTCTTTTCATTGGGTTATACAGAGTCGATGGCCCTGAAAACCATGACAGCTTTACTTGATGTACTGGAACCCAGTTCACACCAGCAACCCAATCGAATATTTGTCTCTTTGGGAAAGATCGTTGATCAAGAGCATCGTCACAAAGGGGAACTCACAGTATCTTGCTTCACTGGTCCACTTGCAGTGCACACCTGTGTCCTGGGATAGCGCCAACAATGTCAGTATGTTGTATCTCATTTCGTTCAGGTACGTGGAATGTTTTCCCCTTGACAACAAAGGAAACGAAGACATTCGATGAAAAAGAACAAAAAGGGTTGATCGGGTGGAAAGTACAGTGTCAATGGAGAAGGAACGAGGGATCGAGGCTATTCAGAAATTGGGGTCACGAGGTCTATATTCGACGCGTCTGTTGCACTTCAGCACGCGTCTATGTTGACCGTAGTAGCCCTAATCAAGAAGGATGCTCGAGAAGGGGGAATTAGAACACAAGGTTGAATAAGGAGAATGAGGTTTGGTTCAAAATTACGGGAACGACATATTACGATTCTCGGCGGCGACATAATACAATTCTCGACGACGACATAATAAGATCTATACACTCTCCCGGATTTTCACGGGTTGAAGACTGTGTATACCCCAATCCTCTTCATGCTCGTCAAAAGGCGACCTCACTTTCATGCCATCTGGCTGGATATTCTCAATCTCTTTTTTCGCCTGCCCCATTTCCCAACTTCCATTGCGTTCATGGCCCTGTCCAGCAATTCCAATTCCCGCAGTGATACCACTGGATGGCTGCGTATCGTCGGTCTTCGAGTTTCTCCATATGGGATCCCTGAACGACACATCGGTATCACTGGCGAGTTTACCAGGGCCCTTGAACCCTCCCAAGCTTTCTTTCTTGGGATTCTTCGCCTTGCGAGCACGACACATGAGGAACACAATAATTGCTGTGAGTCCAATGACAGCGAGCGTTATGACAGCACCGATGACTCCGGCTACAGCGGGAGCCATGCCTTTGTTCTTCTTCGGCTGAGACGCATCCTGGTCTAACACTCCATTGCAAAACACAGTTTCGGCGTTACAGCGGAGGCACCATTCCTGGGTTGAGGCTACAGCAAATGTCTCCAGCGAGGACTGGAACTCGGTATATGTGATTGAGGCACGACTAGGACTGTGTCCAAAGAGGGAGTACGCTTGGAAGTCGGTGGTGTTGTCGGTTCCGTTGTGAAGAAAGAATCTCACATACAAATTGTCGATTCCAGGATAGGATGGATACAAGTTGCCGCTGTCCTCGAAGCTGTACAGCTCGAAAACGAACGAACCACCTCGTACCAGGCGGGAGAAGAAGTTTGGTTGATGCTGGTTTGCGAGTCCCACCAGAGAGGATAGGGCAACAGCTGGCTCATCACCACCGAACAACAAGGTCATCTTCTGCCGGGTACCACTTTCCTGGATGTTCAGATTGAAGGCTTCTAGAATGCTCGATGCCAATGTCTGCCCTGCAATCGGACTGATTACTCGGATCGTAGACCCGCTGGAAGATGATTGTTGGCTATTCATGCTCCACACATACTGGTCCGCTAGCGAGCGGGCACGAAGGATGTCGGCATGGTTCAGACTCTCCAACAAGGTGTCATTATGCACAACTTCATAATCCAGATATTCCGAGATCGAAACGGCATTCGTGTAAGTTGCGGATGATTCATCGTAGACTCCAGACAATGCCAGTTTCCACAGTTTCCTATAAAAGGCTTCTGTGTCTCGCGTAATATCTTGAACTTCGTCGCCACCACGGTATGCGCCCTCGGCGGCATCATACATGGGGCACGTTGCGTGACCTTCAATCAAAATAGACTGTGGGTCTGCCTCGCCGACGGTGACGATCCGAGGATATTGGTACCCGTTCAATGGCGCCTGTGTAAACGACCCGTTCGCAACCTGGGTACCTGGTACGCTCATTGAGCCGAGTGGTGGGTATAGACCTTGCATGAACGCTTGGGCGGAGCCAACAATGTTCTGTTCCGTTGTTGAGAGTACATTCACATCGTTTGAGTCCAAAATGATTGGAGATATGTTCTGGATTCCAGTATCAGAGCCTCCAGATACGTAACGAGAACGGAAATCCGATGCTGCCGCGGCGAGTTCGCTGGCTCCATAGTCGGTCAAGGTCCGAGAGCTGGTGAGCGCACCGGGCTTGCTGTCTCCATGAACAGTAAATGCGAAGACTCCCCAAACTTTCTCAATGGACTGGGAGTCTTGGGCTGAAACCGCCAAACCCTGCAGGGCCAGGAGAGGGATGAATAGGCCGTACATTAAGATGGTCTTCCAAGCATCGAAGGATAGTAAGGATTCGCTGAGTTGATACTTTCTCTACAAACTACGGGGGGAACGTCTTTGTAGTAAAGAAACTCGAACCTCCATGGTCCAGACCTCGAATGGTATGGTAGTGGTAGGCTGACAGAATATACCAGGGAACCAGAGGATGAGATATCCGCTTTCGGGGACCGGTACTACTGGAAGTAGACATACCGGCTTTCTATTCGTGAATATCAACGTGATGGCACTTTAAGCTTTCGGGTTCTTCGGAGGGTGGGGAACAGCTGAATCCTGACGACATTAAGTAGACATGGAAAATTAACTTCGAATTTTTATAAAATAAAATGAAAATGCATGCATGTAGTGGCCTGAAAAGATATTTGAAAGACCCCTTGGGGGCTAACAATACCCGGTAGACGTTGGTAAGACTCAATTTCTTCAGTCAACCTGGATATATATTTCTCAGTACAACTTTATCTTATTTATAGATTTAAAAAGTATTATGACCGAATCTTCCAAGGTTAGCTTCTTGTGTCGATATCCACCACAGCTCGTTTAGATTCACAGGATTGGTAGTCTCAAGGTTGCACGCAATTTATACCCAAGTGAAGTATGATTGATGACGCGCACAAATTTATCGGGCGGGAGAGTCGATGAAACTTTTATATACAACACCCTACATAGATGCCTGCCTAAGTGATACTTTAGTAATTGAAGACAGCTGTAAAGAGAATCATAGAATGCCGTATACATAACAAAAGCCCATCAAATTCTCAGTAGCGTACATGTAGGCATCACCGTGAACACTTGGAATCGCCAAAGTTATACTTAATACGCTAGTCTTAAAACGGCACTAGCCTCCTGCCCTGGGTGAGTGAGGTACCCGACCTACAATTTACATGCATACATACATAAGGTACCATAGGTTTCTCTGAATTGAGAAAGAATGAAAATGTGATGATATCTACATACGTAGGTAGTATTTTCTTATTTTCTCCCACACGAGCCAATCCAAGCCAAGACCGAAGCCTGACGTACTCCTAATGTTGTATATATTTTTCCCAAAGGCGGAGTGTCCTCTTGTCCCACTGCCTTCATATTATGGGCAGAACACCAAGGTCGTCGGCCAGTGCTATCGTAGATCTGATAATTGATAAGAAATGAGATTATTTCCCCGGATTCAACGCTTGATGGATTGTTTTAATAAGAGACCGGCTTCATACCAGGCCTGTAATTTGTAAAACAAGATGAAAAGTACATAAACTACATATTTATTCTACATGAGTTAATGATGGTACCGTTTTAGTGGTGTGCGAGATACCCAGAACACGAAAGAAGTACTTTAGGTATGGTGAACACACGAAAAAGATACTTGTGTATTGATGATGAATGTAGACGCACTTTTATTAAGTCAAGCACGCACCTTTTCCCCAATTTTGTGTTGTCTCCTCTCCACCTACCTTTTTCCCTTGACCCCCACGCACATTTTCTTTAATCTGTACGCTTCCACCCACCACCTCTCAAATTCCACCGCCCGGCAGAAAAATCATCTTTTCGCTCCTCCATCCTACTTCCGCAAGCCCTACAAATGCGCCCTACCCCTAAGCCCTCATTTCTGCTCTCGGAAGTTGATACCCCGACCCCAGGCAGGCGCTTCGTCCAAATGGTCGAGACTCGAGGCGCGCGGCCATCATTCGATGGCCAGGAAACATCTGACTTTCCTCCCTTCCCTTCTGATGGAGGTGACATTGGTAAGTGTTCTCTTCAAGCGCCCATCCGATCGTCCCGTTCACCAGCCATCGACCACCCCCCACCCATACCTATTACCCTCACCGCCAATGAAGCTCAACGTAACCTTGGAATCAATACTCACGATTTAAATTCGTATCATAGACCAAAAAGTGCCTCATTCCCTCGATGATGAAGAGCATGGGTCACCTCCGGCTGCCAAAAAGCGCCGTACAGGCGATGGCCCCGACGGTGATATTTCTCTCCCCGACGAAGTCCTCTTGATGGCCGATCAGCATGGCCCTGGTCACAAAATCGAAGAAGAATTGGCATCGGCTCTCGGCGAAGGCGTTATTGACACCGTTGAGCAAACCGATCATAATGTAAACCAAACTCTTCAGCATGGCGCTCACGACACCCATGTCACCTCTACCGGGGTCACGACCGCCCAAGACGGCAACCCTGATCTTAATCCTGACGTGGCCACAATCATTTCCGAGATCATGGATCATACAGAGCGCCAGGAGCAAACCGTCGCAATGGGACCCCAAGAACTACCACCATCGAATGATTTCCCGGGAGCCAGAGGTTTTGCTTTCCTCAAGGCCAACTCCCACCTCAAGATCCAGAGTCTCCCTATCCTGGACAACCTCGTGAGTTCAATTGATACCATTTGTATGATCTCTGTCTCCTAACATTTGCCCATCACTTCCTAGTCTACGCAAATCTTGTCGTTCCTTTCCAAGAACACCTACCAAGACTTAACTGCCATGGTATCCGAACCTGACTCCGAAAATGGCCAGGCATATGCTACCATGCGCTCCTTATTTGATCACACAAAGCGAGTCTACACCGTCAAGCATTCATTCCTTCAGCCTACGGACCTTGAAATCACAGACCCTTCTCAAATTGATGTCATCCGCAAAGCGAACCTGGCGTCTTTTGTCTCGAGCATCTTCGGATCTCAGGAAATTGGATTTGCGGACCTCAATGATCATTTCCTAGATGTGTTTGTCCCTGAAGGTGGTCGTCTGCTTAAGGTCCAAGGTGCTTTGTACCTCGAACTTAAGACGCAGGCTTTCATCGCCGCCATGCATAACAAGTCTCTCACCCGTACGCAGCTCCTCTACAATCTGTTCCCGGACGACATGGAACAGCGCTTGCTGGCGAGACGTCCTGGTACCCGGCAGCTGGCGCCATCCGAGACAGATTTTGTGAACCGTCTCACCTCTCGCCGTGACATCCTTCTCAATGAGATCAACAACGAGGAAGCGTTGAATGCCCTGCCGGATAAGTATCATTGGGAAGATTTCCTCCGAGACCTTAGCTCCTACATTTCGAAGAACTTCGACGCCATCAATACACAACAGGTTCGTTTGTTTCTTTCATGTTTTCATTGTTTTTATGTTTTCTCAATAGTTGTGCTTGTGCTAATATAATTCAGGGGAAGAAAGCTGTCAAGGGCCGTCAGCCCTCGAGTTCAAATGGCGATGCTCACGAGTCACCCAATACCACCCACCAGGGTCAATTCTCTCTCAACCAACAAGTTGAAGTCCCGGTGGACCGAAACATGCATGGTGACCTTGTTGCGCGTGCTGCCCGAGCTGCGCAGATTGCTCTACAGGGCCATGGCCTCCGACGGTCTCAGCAGCAGTCGCAGCAACAGCATCTACAACAACAACAACAACAGCCCCAACAGACGCAGTCTCAGGCTAGTCCGTCGCCTCTACCGCAACAACCCCAGCACCAACAGCAACAACAGCCACCACCACCACAACAGCAGCAGCCACCGCAGCAGCAAAGTCAACCCGAGAACCAGTATCTTCATGGCTACACTGCCGCACAACAACCGCAGCCAGCTCACCAACAATATCATCATAGTCCCACTCCCCCTGGAGGTTATCAAACACAGCAGGCCTCCCCCTTGACTTTCCAGCAAAGCCCGTTGCAGGCCACCTTCCAGCAATACAACCCCAATGCAGCGCAGGCTATGCAGGCTCGGGCAAATGGCATGTCCTCCAACCATGGATACATGCCGGGGATTCCCCATTACTCTCAGTCACAGCCTACTCAGGTTCTCTACGAACGTGCCCGAATGGCTGCATCCGCAAAGTCTTCTCCGACTAGCCGCAAATCCGGTCTTCCCAGCCAACGTCGACCCTGGACCACCGAAGAAGAGAATGCCTTGATGGCTGGCTTGGACCGCGTTAAGGGTCCCCACTGGAGTCAGATTCTTGCCATGTTTGGACCTGGTGGAACGATCAGCGAAGCACTTAAAGATCGCAACCAGGTACAGCTGAAAGACAAGGCTCGCAACTTGAAGCTCTTCTTCTTGAAGAGTGGAATTGAGGTACCATACTACCTGAAGTTCGTCACCGGTGAATTGAAAACCCGTGCTCCCGCTCAGGCGGCCAAGCGGGAAGCCCGCGAAAGGCAGAAGAAGCAGGGCGAAGAAGACAAGGCTCATGTGGAAGGGATCAAGGGTATGATGGCGCTTGCTGGGGCTCATGGGGCTCCCGTGTCCGGCCATGATATGTCCGCCTCACCTAGCCTTCCACCGGACGCGAACAGCCAATCCGTGTTTGATCAAACCGCGGAACAGAACCTTATGCAGACCCTGAGCCAGGAGGTACACGGAAGTCAGTACCCTCAGCAGCATACTCAGCCAACTCCTGACCACATCGATCCTCATATGCAATTGGGACAGTAGAGGAGTATCATATCCAACCATTTATCTTGTTGATTTAGCTTTTTTGATCCGCAAGATTCGTCATGAGAACCTCGGATTTGCAATTTCGTTTCGGAGTCTAGGGCTGGATTGTGATATTTGTTCCTTCGGGAACCACATTTGTTTTACTATTGGGATTGCGACATTGCGCCTGGATTGGGCGATTGCTTTTAATGCATTCCAAATGTATGAGTACATAGTGATAGAGTCAAAATGAATGATAATGAAGAAAAGAACCTCCCTTTTATAGATATAGATAGACTCAAGTCCAATATATATGCGTACACACTATGGGAACTCTGGTAGTCGAGGTAGAAAAAAAGCCCCCGAGGTCCACTAGAGTAAGTGGCCCGTGCACTACCCGTGTGACTTTGAATCTCCCTATAAACGAACGTATAACCGCCGTAGCCATTGATTGGCCTTGTATTTGGAAGTCTGCAGCCCGATCTCAATTAAAGGATACTTGCAGGGGGTTTCTGCCGATATTTGCCCAACATGGCCGACTCTCAAACATCGCAACCTCCCCAACCCACACCTCAGAACGGATCACAAGAGCATCCCCCTCCGTCCGAATCTGAAGATAACATCAAAACTGAGCCTGATCTTGATGCTTCCATCGAAAAAGACGTCGAGATGAACACCGAAACTCAGACCGGAGAGAACGCGAACGCCGGCGCGCCTGGCCAAGATCCTATGGCCCCCGCGCCAGAACCCTCTAAGAAGGAAACAAGCTTGCGCGAGTTCCTCGGCAAGATGGACGAATATGCACCAATCGTAAGTCATCTTTGAAACAAGACTGTACTTTCTATGAGCTTCCCCTCATCGCCCGGTCACACGGTGGACCAAGGCGTCCCCGCCACCCATCGATCTACCCCAAAGATTTCGCCGAAGCACATGTGAAAGCAGAGCTCCACGACTCAAAACACAAGACCCATTAGAAAACCAAGCAAAAAGCAAGAAATAACTGACCCCTCGATCTCCAGATTCCCGATGCAGTCACAGCCCACTACCTCACCCTCGCCGGTCTCCCACCTCCAGGCACCGGGCCCGGCCAAACCCCACCTCACCTAGCGCGCCTTCTGGCACTCGCCGCCCAAAAGTTTGTCTCAGACATTGCAGCGGACTCGTACCAGTTTGCCCGCATCCGCGCCTCAAACAGCTCCTCCGCAAACAACCCCATTGGCAGTCTAGCAGCCGCGGCTGGTCTCGGCGCTCCTGCTGGTGCAGGCGGTGCCCCAGCTCCTGGCGGTGATACTGGCAAGAGTAACAAAGCCGGCACTCATCTCGGTATTCAGCGACCTGGATTCGGAGGTGGTGGTTCTGGTGGCTCTGGTCAGGGACGCACGGTGTTGACCATGGAGGACCTTGGAATGGCTGTTTCAGAATATGGAGTCAGCGTGAAGCGAGGCGAGTTCTACAGGTAGTGCGGTGATGGAAACTGGTCTTCGGGGGGTTTCTCGTTTGTGCCTGGTTTTTATTTGTAACTTTTCCCTATCATTTGCCTTTTGCGATTTTTCGGGCTTATGGCGTTTGGGTGTGCAAATGGTCTTGAGTGACCTGGGATCATGACTGCATTGTTAGTCCGGGCTGGTGGCTGGGAGGATCCAATGGATGGCGTTGTCTCTTTCTTAAACTGTGAATTTTTGGTTACTAGTATCTATGTATGCAATGCTACAAGAACTAGTTATGGAATGATATGAAACACTTCCCATGTGTTGCTTGGAAATATGCATTAGAATCGGTAAGAACACAGCATGTGTCTTTGTATGTATGTCCTACATTTGAGTATTGTATATAAGTCGCATTGCACGTTGCGATTGGCAGTTTGCATCTAACAAACAGAAAAAAAATGTATATTGAACTCCGACCCAAAAGCAGCTAATGTCACAAGGGATCCAATGATATATCTGTACATGGTATGGCGAAATAAAGAGATGCAATGCAGCTCTCCTAGCGCAAAGAGGTATCTGCACCAGGCAATCATGCGAATCGTTTATTTGTTCTTAGACTGCTTGTATGTGAAACGCTTGCGGGTCCTGTAGGGCAAATGGAATATTAGTAACTAACCACATCACCCCAAACCTACTCATTATGCTCATGTTGCATACTGAACAGGCATAGAAAGATGTATACATACGCGACATATTCTCCAAGCTTGCGTCCGACCATCTCCTCTGTCACCTGGATCTCGACGTATGTCTTGCCATTGTGCACAGCAAAGCGCAGACCGACAAAGTTCGGGAGGATGGTTGCTGCGCGTTTCGTGGTGCGGATGGGAGGAGTGTTGGGCGGAGGGGGGAAGACGCGTGGGAGAGGAAGGCTGTTTGGGTCATCGAGTCAGTTTTTTTAAAGTTCAGTATGGGATAGTCCCATTGTGAGAATTTCTAGTTTCGAAGGTAGGGGGGTTTGGTTTCGATTCGGCATGGATTGGATGTCACGTACGGGACGATGTTTGGGCCTGTTGTAAGTGTTAGCGTGTGGTTTCTTGGGAAATTTTGCCGGAATATAGATCTTCTAGATCTGATAAAACTCACCTTTCCAGACCGACCGGCCGAAAAGGGCGCGTGTGGGGAACATTTTGGCTTGAGGGTTTTCGCAACTGCGATTCCGCGATGTTGAAGATCGATGTCGAAGTCTCGGCGGGATTATGTCAGCAATTTTATATGCCCAGGTACGGCCCCGGCACTCAAATACTAAATCTAAATGAATGAACGTAATAATTGGTTAAGTGATAGATGAAAATGTGATCTACATATGTAGCTAATTGAAGCAAAATAAAATAAAAACCGCAAGGTAGTAGTGCACCCAACGGCCGCCAGCAACTGTGGGCACATGCGATTCTATACTCCATTTCACTCTGCCAGTTCCTCAAAGACCTTGACGAGGCTGCGCACACCCTTGAGAAGATTCTCGTCAGGTCCCTGACCTGGGGTCCAACTGGCATGTGCAAAATCAATCAGGCGGAGAGCGTGGACTTTAGGAATGTCGTCCTCCTCGTCATCATCCTCGTCGGGCATTTGCATAGTTTCGGGATCTATGCTGATATTGATAGCCTGTTGAGGCATCCCATCACCAAGCTGGACATTGACCAACTCCAAGGCTTCTTCAGGAAGTTCAAATTCCTCGTCGTCTTCATCATCATCTTCTTCTTCTTCTTCCCGAGAATGGGGTGCCGGGGCTTTCTTTTCCTCTTCAATTGCGAGCTCCATCGCTTCTGTATCTCCTTCATAGACTACCAGAACACTCGCAGAGTACATCCGGCTTTCTTCGGATTCGATAACCCGCTGCAAGTCTTTCAATTCTGTAGCCAAGCGCTGGGCAACCATTTTTGATCGGTCTATCTTGCCCGCCTTTGCGCCTGCAAGGAAAGTTTCAAAGCCTTGCTTGACATTATCCGCATTGAAAGAGCGGCCGTACCACTTGTCATACCGCCTATAGCCATCCTTCTCGATGACTTCGCCCTTTTCACCCTCTGCGCCCTCGTATTTTGTAGCATATGGATTTGTCCGATCGCCCTCATCAGTTTCCCCATGGTGGCCAGTCCAGACTTTCATGCCCGCGATGCGATATCCAAGGCTAGAGCTGGTAGTTTCCTTAGAGACAGCATCGAGCTTCTTCCGCTTCTCGAGCGGCGCATCGTCAGCCCATAAACGCGCGCCGAGCTTAACGTCTAGCACGTTGGGCCGACGGAACCCACAAGCAATGTTCTCCAGGACGATCGACAAGCCCGTATCAATTTCCTTGCCCCCGGAGGGCACCCAGGCTTCTTCCTCCTTGGCGGGGGTAGCGCCGTCTTCGTGCGCGACGGTTGTGTGCGATGGCGGTTGGGAGGAATCGGCGGCTGCGACGCTGGATTCGGGGAGGGGAAGGACGCCAGATTCTCGGGCGGCAGCAATCGCCAGCGGTTGCTGCTGCTCGGAGGATGAGAGGGATCCGACATAGAGGGGCATGAACTCCTGGAATGCCGGGTGGAGCGCGCTGGATTCGTAGAATTCGACCTCCTGCCGCGTGCACGGTTTCGCGATCAGGGCGCCAGAAGGCGTACAGCGAACACCATCACTGGATAACAAGATCTTGTTAGTATCCTCGTAGATCTAATATCGTACTCAACCCTGCCAGGCTTGGTTTTCATTCCCGCACCCGGTTGAGTTAATCCGCGCGGGGCGCCGGGCCAGGAACAAAGCAGGGGTTTAAAAACTTACTGCCCAGCAGCAGCATGGTCAAAAGGGATCAGCTCTTCGCCGCCTAGTTGGGGTGTCTTTCGACTTTCTGGTTTTGAGGACATTTTGATAGAGTCACTTTATGACTTGAGGGGGTGTGTATTCCGGACCCAAACAACGGGAGAGTAGCTCTGAGGTGTGGAGACCCAGTAGCTCTGAGTTGTGGAGACCCGGTAGCTTTGAACTTGGCAAACAGAATGCAAATGAGGTGAATTATTCAAATATTTGCCATCTAAATAAGAACTGAGATCCGTGTAGCATTGACAGACATGATGACCACTGCCGAAATGCGGGATAGGGGATGTCATTCTCGGCTCTAACACACGGCCCTAACACACGATCTATACGATCTATACCACATAGTATCTACACAGCTCAATAATTTAGCGCTGCAATTTCCGGCTTTTTTCTTTCTTTCTAACTTGAGATAATGTACACAATACAATAAAGTAAAACCTATCATATAAAACATCTTCCAGAAGTGAAAAGAGATATAAATTATGGGCTCCGAGTGATTGTTTGATCTCATCTATAGATGAGTCCACATTCATCCATCGCATCACGAACGACTAAGCATCACCTGCGCGGACGACTAAGCATTACGAAGAAGTTATGTTGATTGCCCGGGTGCCTGCTCTTGAGTCTCGTTTCTCTGCTTTGATCTTCCCTTCTCCTTTCCAACGTTTATCCTCCCTTCTCGCGACGCAGAAACATTAGCTTTTCAACTTCGTTAGTTCCATCATTCATCATGGATGATAAACCTGACCCCGCCCGTGAAGGCAATATGTCTGCGGATACCCAGTCACTGGATACTACTGTTTCTGGGGAGCCCATCAAGCCCACTGAGACCATGACTGGTGACGGTGCTGGTGCAACTGCTAACCTTGGCCCCACTATCCTGGACCAGGAGCATGGCGAAGCTACTAAAGGAGGCACAGTTGTTTCTTCTTCTTCTTCGGAATCAGCCGCTAAATCGTGTCGCATTAAGCATGCCCGTGTTCATTTCATTGATCCGGTCACTCTTGCGCAGCCTGAGCTCAAGAAGTCGGAGGTTGCATCCCAGACTGAGCATAATGTGAGTATTCCGACTCTCTTTAACCAGATCCCAATTCGTTTGATATCTCAAATAGAAAATCATGCTGACAGTATTCTAAAGGTCGAGGGCCCTTTGGTCAGTTCGGACCAGGAGTCTAACAAGCAGGGTCTAGCTGAGGATGGCCTTAAAGGCGCTTTGCCGAAAGCCATTGGATTTGCCGCCGTTGCAAAAGAGTCGGAAAGCACTGCAGGGGCTTCGCATGCGAAGGACGGTGCGATCTCGCAGAACGAGCCCAAGATTGGATCCAAGCATGATCCTGGCGAGGAAAGGTTTCTCGCAAACGTTGAACTTGACCTTGGCAAAAAGAAAAAAAGAAGAACAAGAGGCGCCCCAAGAGTCAGAGAGGAGAGGTATGACTATGCTACTGATGTTTACCCGTTCGGACTTTGTCTAATAGTCTTCATAGAACGCACCCACGGGATTCGAACCCTTCTATGCCGATGCACCAATGACTCCACAGGAGTTTGAGGAGAACAAGACTATCTATGATCCGTACGTCCATTTATACCTCCCTGACCGAGACAGTATCTAACTTTTATCACAGTGCTTTGCCAATTCTTGAGTAAGACCCTCAAAGATTATGATACAACACACTAAACAACATCGACTAACATGACTTATCTAGTCGAATTGACGAGGGCATCAAGCGCTTCTTGTACAAGCGACGTCTTGATCCCTACAGACGCAAGGTTTTCCTCAAGTACCTGCAGTACGGCGGTGTTAGCGTAGGCCCCAATCATTCCCAGGGAGTGACCCCTTCGGAGTTGAAGGAAATGACCAAAGAGGAGGCAATGCAAGCTCGCTGCACAACAGCCATCTTTCCCAAGCAGGGAAAGCCATACCCGATCTCCTTTAACGATGTTGCCACTGGCTACTTGTGAGTCTTCGAGTATCTGAACACTTATTCAAGGTCACAGATGCTAACTGGGTCGATAGGACTGGGTTCTACATGGGATACTACAACCCTGATACTGAGGAGGAGATCAAAATATGCACTGACACTATGAAGAATTTCTTTACTTATCTGCTCTACCATGATGTTTGTCCCGAGCAGAAAGAGGATCTCGAGGAAGCTCGAAAGACTTGTGATCGGTCTGCCAAGGAGTTGTGGATGAACCAGCAACTTGTTCACCATCAAGGCCCGGGAGACTTCAACCGCGGCTGCTCCGTGCTGTTTGGTGGCTACTATTTCGAGGATGTTGATGACCCGGACGCATGGACCAATGTTCGATACGTTGATCAAGTGGTTTTCACCAATGATATGGCTCGCAAGGTCGTCAAATATGCCATCGCAATTGCCGGAAATAACCGGACTGCTCGCAAATTCAAGGTTCTCGCCGACATGGACATGACCGAGGCCAAGAAGGTTCCGGACATCGATGGTTTTGAGATCATCTCTGTGGAGCAACCTACCGAGGAAACCGTCGCTTACTACAATGAGCTGTGCCCCGATCTCACCCCAGTTGGCAAGATTCGAGCTAAGGAATTCCGTGATCCTGCCAGAGGCCCCTTTGATCTCGCCCCCTGGGAGAAGATCGACTGGGATGCTGGTTTTGCCCCGACCTACGAGTTTGAATTCCTCGTCGAAGCTGAGCTGTTTGTCCATATGCTGCCCGGCTTGAAGATCATCACGAAAGTCTTTGAGACCAACTTCGGACAGTACTACTTCGATGAAATCCTGTCGGTCCTGCCAACCTTCTACAAGTTCCTGTACAACGACTGGATGCTGGACTACGTCGAGCCGGCGCCTCTTAACTTCATCCCCGACGAGGAGGAAGTCGCACGTCGCCGTGCAAAGGAATCCATTATGAGCCCTCCTGAGCCGACCCCGGCCGAGTGGGCTATGCACATGCTGACACACGAGTTGACTTTCAATCTTCAGCCGGGTGATGATGCCATGGTTGCCGTCTGGCAAATGATCCACACCCTTGAGGCCTTCGGCTGGGACCTGGAGGAAGTCAAAGACTTGATGGGCTTGGTGGATCCGAATCCGCGCAAAGGTAAGAAAAAGTCGACTACAGGAGAGCAGTCCCACGTGCGCCTTAGCAATGAGTCCCACAACATTTCCCCTTTTGAGACCCCCAAGCAGACCCTTGACCGCACTATCAATCATCTCCAGAACCCGGAAAAGATCAAGCCTGTTATCGCACCGGAGGTCATCGCCAAGTTCCTTCAGGAGAAAAAGGAGCAGCTTGAAAAGGAACAGGCTCAGCGAGGAGGCCGGACTTCGGAGCAGAAGGTTGCTAAGGGCAAGGAGCCTGAAGGACATCCCGGTACAGGACCAGCAACCAGCCGAGGAGCCCAGAGTTCGGAGCAGAAAGTTGCGAAGGGCAAGGAGCCTGAGGGACAGCTCGGTAAAGGACCAACAATCAGCCGAGGAACCCAGACTACTTCAAAGGAGGAAATTGCGGAGACCCAGGAACCCAAGGGTGCACTGGAAGGAAACAATTAGTGATTGAAAGGTCGCGAGGCGCAGCTATCATATTTCTACGTGATCAGTCTGTCGCAAATTTACCAGAATGCTTTTTCAAATATGTTCTTAGCCAAATGCAGAACCAGAAATGAAATTCGTATTGATATCTAAGGAATATACACATCCTCGTAGTCTTATATTATCGATAGATCACAATTTGCTTGTGTTGTCTAAAAGGCCAGGTCCTGCTTCAAGGTCTCAGCAGTGGCTTTCCCATGGTCTTCCGTCCTTCCAAATCCTGTCGAGCGGGTTAGAATACAGAATGACTAAAGTTCCACGCAAAGAACGACGGAGACTACATACCTTGTGCACCTGAGCAATGTCCTCCAGTGGGTAGATTTTGTGAATCTTGGTCTTAAGCTGGCCTGACTTCAGTAGGCCGAACAGCTCATTGGTGTATGATTCGAACTCTTCGCGGGTCTGAATGTATCCGAAGAGTGACGGGCGAGCAACCTTGACACACTTGGGGGTAAGTTTCCTATTGAAATATCATGAGTATCACTAGCCAAGTCCAATACAGAGAGGAAAAGGACATACGCGAGAGGAAGCGGGGGCACAGGCCCGCTGGCATTGCCAAACCAGACGATAGTACCCTTGCGCTTGACAGCCTCCAAGCTTCCTTCCCAGGTATCCTTGCCGACTGAATCGTAGACAACATCGACGCCACGACCACCAGTAGCTTCCTTAACTTTTTTAACCCAGTCCTTACCCTCCTCGCTGCGGTAATCAATCACCACATCGGCACCAAGGCTCTTCACAAGCGCACACTTCTCTGCGCCGCCGGCGGTACCAATAACCTTGGCACCCATTGTCTTCAAAATCTGGGTCATGAGGAAGCCAGCACCACCGGCTGCAGCATGGAGAAGAACCCAATCACCCTGCTGCACGGGATAAGTCTCCTTTGCGAAAGCAAGCACCGTCAAACCGCTCAGGAATGAGGCCATGATATCCTCATCACTGATCCCCTCGGGGATCTTCGCAGTCTGGGCCGCAGGCACTGCAGTGTACTCGGCATACCCACCAGTAGCCAACCATGCAACCCGATCACCGACCTGGAAGCCTGAAGTTCCAGGACCAACAGCAGCGACAACACCAGCGCCCTCGCGGCCCAAGATCTCGGGCTTGGGCGCGGGGTATAGGCCTGTCCGGAAGTAAGTGTCGATGTAGTTGACACCGGAGATGTTGTTGCGCACTAGCAGCTGTCCTGCTTGTGGGGTAGGAACTGGGTATGAGGTCTTGAATTGGAGCACTTCAGGGCCGCCGATCTGCTCGACCACTACGGCCTTCATAGTTGCTGGGACGGACATGCTGCGGATTGGAGTGAATTGGTTCACGAGTGGAGGGGCAATGTGATTTCGAAGTCCTGTGAGTCGGGAACTACTGCGTAGAAGAGAGCGAAACATAATAAATAAGTAGGTGGGGGGTTAGTATTGGAGATATGAAGGCCATCGGCTTCACATTTGTCATCGGATCCCCGCAATCTCCGGCGGAATTATTGCGCTCTCTTCTTTTCCCTTCGCTTCTCTTTAGAAATCAATGAACTTCAATCTTATTATCTATACGGAGTATGCCGTATTCAGATTTGACAATTTGCTTCATACAGGTTCCCCAAATACAATATTGAACATATCAATTATTCGAATATGAGGTCTTCGCAGGAATATGACGCCATTTCCGTCGGGTGCTCACCCGTCGGAACAAGGGTATACATGTTATATTATGCAACACAGCACTGCAACACAGTCTTTTCAAGTCTTTTCAAGTGGAACAAATGATATCCAACAGATTCAATACCCCCCTTCTCTGACAGAAAATCTATGGCGCTCAGGTGAAGCCCCTGGTCAGATCTGCCGCTGTATTAGCGCTTCAATACGGAGTACTCGGTTACAAAATCAACATGCAAGCCACCCGGAGCCCCATGAGGGGCCAATCCCCCACGAACCGGCATGTCAGTTGGTCCTGGCTCTGCAGGACGATATAGCGCCGACTTTGTATCATCTGCCGCTGACTGCATCATGAAACCTTGGAAGAGAATATATATCCTCCCCGCGCCATACACTTGAGACATTACGCAGGTCATTATCCTCTGATCGGTCAGTCCAAGTTTAGGACAAGTTTCCTAAACATCAGCCCCTGAGGAAGCTCGAGATTTTCATTTGTTGCCCAATATGATCCAGTGGACCGATTTGATTCTAAATAAATCGACCTGAAACGCAACGGCAGTACCCGGAGGTTCCACTTCGTGCCCAATAGTCAACAGGCTGCCATAGCCACACCCCTTTGTGATGACTATGACTCGACCATTCGTTTCACAGTTTCCACCTGCCATCCTTGCCTCGTGATTCCTCTTCGGCCTGAAGCTATTCTTGTTTGTATTTTTGCTCTTGCCCAATCACTGAAATGGCCTATCAGAGGTCTATTCTCACAGGGTGATGCCCGATGCCATCCACCGACGCTTATATACCCTTGTACATCCGGCTTGCGCACGTACTTTAAAGCGAGCATCTTTGTCTACTTTTATGAAAATTTTTCTCTCTCTTTCATACGTACCATAGTTTTCTGCCCCCCTGCAATTTTTCACTTTTCAAGTCCAACTATTTATACTATGAACCATATTTCTCGAGCTATTCCACGAGACGTCAACGCACCAGGTTAACGTCCTAAAGCAATCATATTCCATACTATCTGTCTGGCCAAATCAATTTTTTTTTTTTCTTTTAGAAATGGCTCCCTCTCGGAGCTCTCGGCGAGCACGATCGCGATGGCCTCCTGCGCCCTGCGTTGAGGAAGAGCCACAGTCCCTCTTGAAGGAGCTAAACGGTCTCTCCAAGCTTGGAGATAAACCGGGGGTCGATGGTGTTCATACAAGAGGGGCTGTTGATCAGTATCCCATCATAATCTCTGCCAATTCGCCTCCTCCGCCGTCTACCTCCCCCGCTAGTGTTCCTAGTGTGCCTGGGCTCGGGAGTGTGTCTTCGGATGAAAGTGCAGGGCCAATGACACCGCCTCCTCAAGAGCCAGTCTTACGGAACACCGTCAGGTTTGAGACAGATGATCGGCCAAAACGTGCGCCGCCCTCAGCTACAACCCAGCCACGCAGCCCGCCATCTCGACCTCTAGCCCAGCAACAGCCTATCCGCGAGGTTAATATCGAGCGGGAACCCCAGCCGCCAACTCATAGCCGGGATGGCCATTCCAGTAGACACGGGCCGCCATTGCAGAATATGCCTGGGTCCCGTGGACCGATTGCACTGGATCGCAGTGGTGCTCGAGCTCCCATGCATGACAAGACCTACCTACCACCGCCCGAGTCTTCCATTAGTCGTTCCAACAGTGCTAGGCATGCACCTTCGACCACACGACCAATGGCTGAACGCTTTCGACGGGAGCCTAGCTCGGGGTATATGTCCGATTCGGCCACCACATATAACAGGCCACCCTTGCACCAGCCACAGGCACCTGTACCCACGGCTCCTGTGTCAGCTCTGCCAAATGGGCCCACCCTTGCAGAACGCATTGAGGAGAAGCTTCGCCAGCGACAAGAACAGCGAGAGTTAGGATCTATGTCAGACCCGGAGGTACGGCAATTGCCAACTGCGAAGCCTGTCAAACTGAATCCTGTCGACATCTCTTTGCCCCCTCCGCCTCCTGCTCCTGCTCAAGCCTCGCACTCACCTTCACGTGGGCCTCAACGTGTTCCGATCCAACGAACACAACAGGAAGTGCCCCAGGCCTCACGTGCCCGCGCAACATCGGTGACAATGCCGCCTACCCGGTCGATGTCTGGCTCTCGCCATTCATCACGACCACCACCGGAGATGATCAAGCCTACATCAACCCAAGTCGCAACCCAACTCAGCCCCGACAGGTCGTTGGCTCATCCCGCGCCCACTCGACCTCCGGCAACATCTCCACAGCGCCCCAGCTCAGTAGGTCTGGGCCTCTCTCCATGCCCGCGAACAATCGCCGTAGCAGGCTACCAAGATTGGTATACGCTGAAAGGCCTCACCCACCTAGACATCTGCCCATCCTGCATGAGCCAAATCGCACATTCCCGGTACCGCGACTACTTCATCCCAAGCCTCCCAAAGCCAGCCGGGCAAAAGACTCGATGCGCCTTCGCCAACGCATGGACCCGTCTCGCCTGGGCCCAGATGATAAAAAAGCAACACGACAGCCTAGAGCTCCTGTATCAAATGACACGTCCACCACCCGGTACGCGGTCCTGTCCCGGCCGCATCGTCGCCGAACAATACTGGCACCGCATCTACGACCCGGAAACCGGAAACGACCTCCCAGGCTTCCACGTCTGCAGCAGCTGCGCGCGCAACATCCGCATCCTAATGCCCAGCCACCGCGAGACCTTCCAGCCAAACCCAGATCCCACCGAACGGGTATGCGACTTTGTCACATCGAGTCCGCGGTTCGTGAAATTCATCGATCTCCTCGATGCGTCTGCTTCGCGTGCTGAATCGGACTCCTCGCGCACCCGCCGCCCGGATATGCGCGAGTTCCTCAATTATGCACGGCGCAAGGTCGTGCTGCGTGATTGTCGTCGTGATCGGCCTACGCTTAGTACGTGGCACTTTATACCGTCGCTACCGGAGATGTGTGTCTGCGAAGACTGCTATGATGAGGTTGTTTGGCCGCTGGCGAGGTCGAATCATCCTATTGCGTGCATGATTACGACGAAGATGCGGATCTTGCCTGGTGATGGGCCTGGTCGGACTCGTGAGGCAAGTTGTCAGCTTTACTCGCCGCGTATGCGGGCGAAGTTCCGGGAGGCGGTTGTTAGGGATGATTTTGGGATGTTGAAGTCTGTTGCGCAGAGGAGGGTTGAGGCTGAGAGGCGGTTCCTTGATCGGAGGGAGGAATTGTTGGTTTCTCAGTCGAAGGGGTATAATTGTGATGAGGAGATGAGGAAGGCTGTTGATGAGTGGAGGAGGTGGGAGTGATATTTATGATTGTATGGTTTCAGGCGCTTTGATTTCTGTCTGTAAATGCATGTATACTTGGGAGCATTGGGGTTATACAATGGTTGGAGGGAGTTTTGTTTTGCACTGTACTAGCATAGCATCATAGCATAGCATATATATAGGACTCTACTTAGGTAGAACATACCCCTGTTATTACCCCTCATACCGGCTCCAGGCCGGAATCCGGTGTTGAGGTCCGAAACACGAGTTCGTAGTTATATTATCCTAGCATTTCCTTCTTCTATTGACCCGTCACCGTTAGGATTTCAATCTGGCGATTTATTGAAGAGCTTCTTTCCAGGTTTGGCACTCATCATCTCACTAATTAGACATGCTTTCAACTCGCGGTGAAATATATGCTAAGGCAGGGCTGGCCGATGGCTACCTTGGCCCTCCTAAGACAGTCTTCGACAAAGATACCAAACAGGGTGTTGTGTCTTTCAGCAATGCTGAGAATGTAAGCTTTCCACAAAATTATCCTCGCCAATAACTTAGATTATGGGCATGCATGTACTAACTATGCGTTAGTTCCTGATGCAAGACATAATGCTTGAATATATCCGCACGCAGGTAAAACCCTAGATTAGCCACCCTCACCCACTACACAGAGAAAAGGGACCAAGTCAGCTAAGACAAACAACAGGTATCATCAAGCCTTGACCGCACAACTCTCACCTACCATGAAGGCCCATTCGGCTCAAGCCGACTACGAACCGCCATGACCAATCTAATTACGAGCTACTTTCACCCCGCTACACCAATCTCACCTAACAACATCGTCTTCGCAAATGGCGTGACGAGCCTCAACGCCATCAGTGCTCTCAATCTAACCAATCCCGGCGATGGCATTTTACTAGGCCAGCCCATCTACGGGTCCTTCACAGGAGATCTCCGCGTTCCCTCTGAGTGCCAACTGATCTATACCCCCTTCCACGGGGACGATCCATTTAGCCCAGATGCCGTGACTCGATATGAGGAGACCTTTTTGAAAGCACGAGACGAAACTGGGGTAACAATAAGGGCCCTCTTGATCTGTAACCCGCACAACCCGCTCGGTCGATGCTACTCTCGCGAGACACTGGAGGCACTACTACTATTCTGTCAGAAGTACCAAATTCATCTCATCAGCGATGAAGTGTATGCGCTATCGGTGTATAGTAACGATGATTCCGTTGGGTTTATCTCCGTTCTGTCAATCGATCCCGTCCCGCTCGGAGTGGATCCAGCCCTAATCCATGTGCTGTATGGGATGTCGAAGGATTTTGCTGCAGCGGGATTACGGCTAGGGTGTTTGATCAGTCGGAACCAGGGGCTTTTACAAGCTGCTTTGTCAATGAGGTAAGGGAACGCTTGGCTCCGTTTATTGGTTAGGGGGTGCTAAATACCCTAAATATAGTCGGTTCCATTGGCCTTCGAATATATCCTGCAGTATTGCCACTGCTATTCTCGAGGACAATGACTTTGTGAAGACTTTTCTCCAGAAAAGCCATGGATTACTTCGTTCACATCGGGATTTAGCTGCACGTACCTTGGAGGAGGCAGGGATCCCTTTTGCGCAAGGCAGGTCGGTTTTCCCTGTACCTTACAGATCTTCAAAACAGCCCTGGAGAAGTCGGAAACTAAACTTTAGTATTTATCTAGTATTGCGGGGTTCTTCCTCTGGATCGACCTGTCCAAGTGTTTGGATAATACCATTGTTGGTAGTCAAGGCGAATGGGCTGCAGAGTTGGATCTGTCCCGCCGGCTACAACAGATTGGGGTGGTGATGTCGTCAGGGTATGCCTATCATAACGAAGTTGCAGGCTGGTTTCGTGTCATCTTCTCGGTGGAAGTGGAGAGCCTGAAAGTGGGATTATCAAGGATTATCGAGTTCTATAATAGCTCGGGGACCATTGCTTGATAGTTAGTCGTCACCCTGGGGTCTAGTGTTACTACCTTATCAGCACCTTCCTTTTGTAAACAGACACTTCAAGGCTCTTTCCAAATGGAAAGATATTAGTCTGTCATGGACTTGTACTGTTTTCTTTACTTGTGAGTTCCACTTTGTTCTAATTGCAGTATTCCTAAATTCATCCACCGCGATTCCTTGATTGTCTCTTTGACTTTCTCTCACCCTCCCTTCAACGGCCTAATCCTGATATAAATCTCGAGGAAAACTCACAAAAGGATGATCTAGATCCCGCTGAAGAGATATTCTCGCGACCATGATCCAGCTGCCTTTGACCCTGTGTGGTCCTGTCTCCGCGAATCATACCTCACAAATAAGTCGACTCAGAGTTAGGGCTATCTTGCGCGATTTCCATTAGGACCCATCTGTCATCTGGATCCTCCATTGCATTGCTGAAGAAGGGAGGATCCCCCAACAACCATAATGATGTAGACGTGTATTTGCCGATCGACCGACAGATACCCCTTCGGTCCTGTCTATAAAGCAGGATCCGATCCCCTCCATGTGTGACCACATCAACTACCACTCCGAACCTGAACGGACGGTTTCTTCTCCGCTGGCTTCCCTCCCGGCACAGACAAGCTGTTTACGCGTGTCGTTCGACAAGAAAGGCGAATGGCTCGCAGCTCAACTCGCCAGCGAGCACACCACTTTCTTAGCTGGCAGTCTGATGACTTCCCAAGCAGGGGGTTTTTTTTCCTAATGGCTATTTTTTTTCGCTCCATGAGCACGACGGTTGGTGGCGATAGCGAATATGGACCAAAAGTCACACAACTCGCCCACTACAACATGCTTGAAACCATATAACTAGCTGGGGTGAGGTTCTTATTTTTCAAAGGCTAGGCCCCTCAAAACATCGACCCTTGGGAGCTTAGTGAAAGTGACCTGCATGACACCACCAATTTCTGGTATATCTTTCTATCCTCCATCAGGCACAATAACCCAAATCCCAGCTCAATAGCGTATAATCGAGGGTCATAGCTCACACCATAGTCCGAAAGGCCGATCAGGAACAGCTCAGGTGCCTATCCCGTCTGCCCAAGAGGTTGGCAATAGTTACACAGGATATGGGACATTGGTCTCGCTTTCAGAGGTGATCATATGGTGTCAGATCAGTTGCCAATCCGAACCATTACTCAAATGCCTACTCGTGGATAGACTACATGGAAAAAATCTCAAATCTGAAGTCCGAAGACGTTGCACACACTCACATGAGCTACTCTCTGAAAATCAGGCAACCAATTGGTACGAGATTGGACTAACCAGCTTGGAAAAGGACGCGCTACGTGAGCTCCCCTTGAACAAAGACCTTACCGAGCTATGGAAGCCACTCCCCCATACCCGCACCACCATTACCAAGAGGCTCCCGGTCGAGAAAACTCCCGGGCTGATGCCTCCCGCCCCGTCGACAAGAATCCCGCGTCCATCATACCCACAATGGCCCGGTGGACAATCTTGGCCTCCACTGGGAGAAGCCCTCCGGAATATGGATGCCACTCATCTGGTTTGAGTAGGGCAGTATTTGGAGGTATGCTGAGTACCATTTTCGAGGATGACTGGGGATATCTGTTTATGGATGGCAGAGAACAAAGGCATTTTCGTTAGGTCTTGCCTCCGGGACTGGTGTTAAGGTTGTCTTGTCTGCTCATGGAGAAAATGCTACGAAAAGGAGAAACAAGAACTTTTAAAACAAAAACCGGCTTGGATGGGTCAACTGGGCATGGGAGAAAGCCACACCAGGAGAGAACAAAGCAATCTACAATCTACGCTTCATTTGTTTTTGTCTGCTTTTTCTAGCTTACTCCTACAGATTAGATTTTCAATTCAAAAAGGTCAACAGAACCACTTCAATCATAAAATAGAAGCCGATGGATAGTTCCATTTAGTAGTATGTCGCCATAAACGGAGATCCATGTTATTGTACAAGATGATAGCCTACATACATGTACACATTGAATACACACCCGTCGAATGATTGATTGTATGTAATAACAAGCCACAACCCCATGCTAAATGAAATTTGAATCCCCAACTCCATATCCGAAGAATAGATGCAACTATCTAATGCAAGCAAGAAAAAATGCAATGCAAAGATCTCTAACCCACCAGCCCAACCAACTCGCCAGGCCAACGCTTCGCCCAAATAATAGCTCGGGGAGGCATTCTCCCGCCAACAGGCGCAAGCACACGGATCTTTCCCTTATCCGCGTCGACATCGGCAACATACAAGAAGCCCATGATACTCGCGTCACGGACTTCGGCGGGGGATGCCGTGGCAGGTGCATGAGTGATTGCAAGGAGGGTATTTGCCAGAGCGGAGGGAGCGGGTGGGAGAACCTTCTTCAAGGGGACGCTGCTGCCGTTGTTGGCGTTGGCGTTGGAATTTGCGTTCTCGGTGGACTCTGAGAATGAGCCCACGACACCAGGGAGGGGGGCGGCGCGGTCCGGGTCTTGTTTTGTTTCTTGTGGGGTGTAGTCGTCCATGCCGCCACCGCCGGGGAGGAAGGAATCGCCTGTTCCCAACTGGGAGGGATCGTATTCGTCTTCATCCTCATCGTCTGCTGAAGAGACGGTGTAGTTGTACACGGGGAGGGAGGCGAAGTCAAGTTGCTGTGCGTGGGGAGAGAGAGTGATGGCAGAAGAGGGGGATGAGGAGGGGATGGGGTTGCCGAAGAAGTAGGAACGGATTTGGGATTCCCGTGTTGCCTTGCGGAAGGCGTCGTCACGGTCAACACAGCCACCCGATTTGGAAAGCTTGACGACGGAGATGTGCTCGTCGAAGACAGCGGCTGTTGCACTGGAAGTGGGCTTATTGTCATATTGTCTGGCAACGGTGCTGTACAAGCGCTCCGAGCCTAGTACCAGGATTGTTGTAATTGAGAACTCTGTAACAATGTGGTTGATCAACTCCATTGTGCCAGGCTTGTCCGTACCAAGGATGCCGGGCGTATCGACGATGATTCCCGTTTCGCGCGCATCCTCGTCTTCGGCCATCCGACCCGTGACAGACAGAGCTAGACGCGAGACGACTGGTCGGTACACCACGCCTTCGCCATCGAGCGGGCTTTGCATCGGGTAACTGTACACAAGCGGCAGCTTAACAGGCACGGGGCTGGGCCCGGACATGGGGCTGCTTCCCCAGCCATCTTCGACGTCCAAGATGGTGCGGAAGGCTGTCGCAGTCAGTGTACCAGGGACACCGAGCATACCCTCCGTAGGGTCGAGGTTCACGACCAACGGCTGACGGCCGATCTTCGTCGCATACGCGGTCAAGATCTTAGCCAAACTGGTCTTTCCGGTGTTTTCAGAACCGAGAAGGAGCACGCGCGGGCCATCCTTGCCGATTGACTGAGCTTCTTCTCGCATTGTCTCCAGCGCAAAGTGAACGTTGGCATATTCTACCATTGGTGTTTCCTCGGCCGTGTATTCGCTTTGACAGCCTCCTGCGCCATTACCGACGGTCGGGGTGACTCCATCAGAGGTAGTTGATGCCGTCTCGACCGCAATGACTTCAAGTGCGCAGCCATGCCATGTGAAGATTGCTGCTTTTGTACCGGTGAAAGTGTAGGTTTGGGATTCGGCAAGTTCGGTTCCAAAGAGTTCCGCGGTTCCATTGAGAAGCTGCACAGCTGGAATCAGAAGGATCCTAATCATATCAGAGAATATAGCATACCTTTACTTTGATAATATGTCCAAAGGCGACCTCGAACCGCCACTCCGAACCTGGGGTCAGGTTGATCTGTGATGGTGGTGCCGGTGCCTGCGATCTTTCCTCCGATGGCTGCGTTAGCTCGAGACCCGGGAGCGACATGTTACCGGTCAGTTTCAGAAGCCTCAAGATATGTGCAAACGTTGAATGGGGTGAAAGAAGTATTGGAATTGCTATCGGGTGCGGAGCTTCATAATTGTTTTACTTGTTTGCATTAACGTTTACGGGCAACTAAACATCCCGCACGGAACATAACTCTCTCATTGGTTGATATTGCACTTTATGAGTACAACCTTGAAGATGCGAAAAGAAGTGAAACCCAAATGATATATAGAGTAATAGAGTATATGAGGCAGTATCCCATGAGAGAGTTATGTCCCGCGTGTACTTCCAAAGTTAGTCGCCCGTAACGTTACTTAGTCGTCACTTGGCCGTTAGTTGACCGTTATTTGACCGTCACTGGCCGGTTGGTGTGAATATCTCGTACAATGTAGACAAACATTGTTAGACATAGTTCGTGTCTATGCACATTCAAAGTATTTGTTATTAATAAATCAATGTACAAGTTATAACCCTACAGGAAACACAAACTGGTAACATCAAAGCATATCACTATCATTGAGCGAATCGTCCTTGACTACTTGGAGAACTGCCACAGGGCAGTAGGTGGGAGAGGGAGGAAGTTGGTATCAGGAGAACAAGGGTAAGGGGCATGAAATGAGCTAAGAGGCAATCCAAATAACCAAGTCTGGTGCAAAACACAGGGAGAGGGAGGGGAAGGGGAGGGCAAAATATTAGAAAATGGGGTCAATAACAGGCACAGGGCACTCAGGATCGCCGGCGAGGAATATATTTATGATAACGACAAGGGGAATTGGGCATCAGAAGTGAATATTTGGGTAGCTGAGCCGTCGCAAGCGACAGACACGCCGAAAAAAAAGAGACCACAATTTCAAACAGACTGGATTTTGTCAAGCAAAACCTCATCCTGTTTAGAAAAAGTATGGGATAGAAGCCCTAGATATGATGTTAGTGTTGACCCGAAATATTCGTAACACGGAATGACTTACGCCAGAGCAAAGGCCACGGAGACACCGAAGATAGAGCGGTTGCGGACACGCTCCTGCTTGAGCCTGTTCTCGAGCACCTTGGCTTTCTTAGCTCGTTGGGAGGATTCGGCCGATGTCTCTTCGTCGTCATCGTCCTCGGCCTTGCGCTTGGTGGTCACCTTGGCAGATGTCGATTCGGGAGTAGCGCCTTCGGCTTGCGCCTTGATGGCCTCTTCCACCATCTCCTTGGCCTGAGCAATCATCTCTTCAGTCTCCGCAGCAGAGGGCACTTCCGGCAGACTGATAGGCATATCCAGGGAAACGGTAGTGTGAGTGGACTTGACAGCATCAGTGACATCGTCAGCCACCAATACCTCGACGGTCTCCTCCTGTTCCTTGATCTCCTCTTTCTTCTTCTCTTTCTTGTCGGCCTTCTTCTTTTCTTTCTTTTCCTCCTTCGTCTCCTCCTTAGCCTCTTCCTTCGCATCCTCTTCGGATTCCGCGATGGCAAGTCTTTGTGCCATGCCCCCTCTGGTCTTCTTACCAGGAGATCTGCTTGATGTGACTTCTGTTTCACCATCCACGGCGCGCAATTCGGGAATCGCGGCCGAAAGGGCTGAAGCTGTATCTAATGCCGACTGAAGAGTAGCGTTTGCAGCCTTCGTGGACGGGGTGCTAGTGACATCCTTGGTGATGCGAGTGCTGCGGGGCTTCCGAGGAGACAACAACTTCTTGCTCGGAGAAGCGGACCGACCTCTGCGGTTGCGCTGCGACACGGGAGGCTCATCGGAGGGAATTTCGAATTTCGGCGGGGGAGTGATGTGCTTCTTTGCGCTGGAAGGACTCTGCACAATGTCCGTTGGGTCCAACAGTGCGCGCACCCAATCGTACATTTGGTATTCCTTGGAAAGCTCAAGGGCTAGGTATAAAGTCAGAATTTGCTTGATAGAGAGAACATCCTGGGCAGAACATACCAAATGTGGGAGAGATCCACACATTGCCAGCGACTTCCTCTTCGCTGGTGTACTCGCGAGCTTTCAGATACTCACGCTCTGTCCGCTCTTCATCGGCCTTCGCCCATGGGAATGCAATTTTGAACATTCCAGTAGCGCTAACAAAGCCATCCTTACTACGGCGCTGTAACGATGAGGCCCGAAGTCAGTGCCCGTTGGGTTTCAAAATTCGATAAAACGGGAGGTCTCACCATCAAGAAGTAACTATCTGGGTGTTGTTGGGGGTGGGGAGGGAAGATCTCAGAGCCCTCGAGGTCCTTGGGCAGCGGAGCACGGAGGTGAGCATACTCGAACACGCCTAGGTTCTCGGGCTTGGTTGCGTTCGAGGTGCCAATCTGAGCAGGCTTGACGGAGAGGTTGGTTTGTCCAAGACGACGGCGGGCAAGGAGCTCATCATCTATAATCCAGGGTAACGCGAAATCGTTAGCGATGGCCTTGGAGGCATTAAGGGAGCACAAGGCGGGTAGATAGCCGATGCGCGCGGTCGCGCCACCACGCGCCAGTGTTCGAACTTACAGGTGGGAGCAACCTCGATCGTGATGAGCGGATTAAACTGTTTTGGGAGTGTTCGCGACATGGTGGGGGGATGTCGAAAGGGAAATGAAGATCTTGCGGGTGACTTGCGGGTGACTTGGAGGGAAAGATGCGCCAACGTTGGCCACGTAGCAGGCGCGTCAAGCGACAGAAATCACGAATCAAATATTACCACCGACAGATCTTGTATCTTGGCAAAAGAGAAATGCGCAGCCAAAATTGCGATTGATAAGAGCCCAAAAAAAAAAAAAAAAAAAAAGGACGAGATAAAGAAGACAATCAGGAGAGATGAGAAGATGCGAGTCGCGAATAATTGCGTCGTTCTGAAGCTTGACTTGTTCCGGTAAGGTCCGGTAAATGGATGGTCATGTGTGGTACTTGAGGGCTCTGGTTGGTTAATTGGATTGATACTTCGTATCTGGTATACCCCAATGTATTGTAATTGTTGGCCCCGTGACCTTGACATTCCGGGCCAACACTTTCCTTCTTTGGACTTGATCTTCATCTTTTGTTTTACAGAAGTCGAGTGTGTCTTTGTTTATGTTTCTGGATAGGTATTTGTTTTGAGTACATATGAGTATGGTTACATATATACAAGGCTTACATACTGTATGAAATTGCTAATAATAATTATAGAAATCCTCCTTCCTTTTCTACACGGAGTAAATATAGATATATATTAGAAATATATATGTACATATGCATCTATCAATACACAATACATTCTCTTCTCATGTTTTCCCATTCTGCAACATTAGAATCAACCTATAATCGACAAGGGCTGTATATGTCTTATCAACGTGGGCAATTACGTCTACAACTAGTTGCATGATCATCGGCCCCCACACCCCGAATTGGGGCATAGTTGGAGTCTATATAGTGCTGGATCATTTCCAATTCTCTCCATCTATAATCTATACACTGTCAGTAAAAAAACAACACTTGACCCATACAATTCTATGCCATGTAAACACTCTGGTTAATATAACCGTGCAGGATCAACACTGCGTAAACGTGCATACAGAAGTGGGAATCCGAATAGCCTCGCCCCTCTCCCACCGCCTTTCCACCCCCACCAAGGTCTCAGGAGACGCTTCGAGCTTTAGCCCTTTTTATTTTTCTTTATCGTTTCGAGTTTTGACTTTGTTTCTTCTTTTTCTTCACTGTCCAATTCCCCCCCTTTTCACGACATCACTTCCCCGAACTGCAATCCTTGGCTTTGTGTCCCCCCCCGCCTTATAAATCTGTAAACAATGGCCGACCACCACGATGATGAGCTCGCTTCCACCGCCACCGAGGGTTTCAAGGTCGGAGAGAAGAAGACCCTTGATGAGTACAACCAGCTCGGTATGTTGATTGAATTATAATCCATTGGCAATGTCTACCCCTCAGTGATTTCCCAGCTAACCATCTATTCTTTCCCCCGCAATAGACAAGGACGATGAAGCTATGAACCGCTGGAAGGCCTCTTTGGGTCTCAACTCCGGTGAACCCATCGCCGATCCTAATGACCCTCGCAAGTGCATTATCAAGTCCCTGGCTCTGCAAGTCGATGGGCGTGAGGATGTTGTTATCGACCTGTCCTCCCCCGGCTCTGTTGACAGCCTGAAGGATAAGCCTTTCAAGATCAAGGAGGGCTCCAAGTTCCACATCAAGGTTACCTTCCAGGTCCACCATGAAGTTCTGAGTGGCCTCAAGTACTTGCAGGTCGTCAAGCGTAAGGGAATTCGTGTCAGCAAGGATGAGGAGATGTTGGGCAGCTACGCACCCAACACTACCTCCAAGGTTGACTACTCTAAGGAGTGTGAGTATTTAACCCTGGATTGTATTTCTTGATTTTTTAAATATAGCCTTTACTGACTCTAATCCCTTCTAGTCAACGAGGAGGAGGCCCCGTCTGGCATGATTGCCCGTGGCCACTACAACGCCGTCTCGAAGTTCATTGATGATGACCAGCAAACTCATCTGCTGTTCGAGTGGTCCTTTGACATTGCTAAGGACTGGTAAACTTGAGTTGAGAGCGCTATCTCGTTAAGTTATTAAGCGGCCATTTGTTTTCAAAGCGTGATGAGTTTCTTTCTTTGACAAAATCGTTAGAGATGCGTCCCACTGGGCTGATGCTTTGGATCCCAGTTTTATTGTTTATGCGTCATACCGAGTCTCAATTATTGGTGTATGGTATTTTCATTTCAGATGCCAAGTAGCACATCTAGCTGTTGGTGAATGCACAGCTTTATCCGAACTCCTGTCTAGTGCGGGTGGTAAAAAAAAAGGAAATTGAAATACATGAACATTAACATCAAACAAAACATTAACAGTAACCAATGGGTATCATGAGAAGATGCAGAGATTCACAAGAAGTAGTCGACCATTGGGCTAGAGCCATCCTTGATCTGCTGCTGCTGCTGACCCAGCTGTTCAAGGCGGTGGGCATCATTTTCAGGTGCAGCGTCAAAAATATTGAAGAAGCGCTCACCAGAGTCGCTCACTTCGAGCACACTAGCCAAGTTTCCACAGCGGTAGCAGTAGTTGGGTGCACTCCAGACCGTGCTCAGGCGGTCGTCGTAAAGAACCTGGTACCCTTCTTGGCAGAGTTGATGTGCGCGCAAGATGTGGGACATACTGTTCACTTCTAGGAACTTCCGCACAACCTGTGCTCCAAAAGTGTATCCAGCACCGCGGGGTGAGAGTGAGAATTCGTCGCGTTCTGTGTCAGGGTCGGACCAGACCAAATCGGCCATGGGGCCTTCGTGTGGGATTTCGCGGAAACGGTCGATAATCTTGATTTGGTCGATAGAATGGATGGAAGGTGACAGGCCGCCATGTACACAGAATATCTCGTCATTAATCACGACACTCAGTGTCAAAAAATCGAACATATCGGTGAAGTAATGCCAGACATTGGCATTGCCGTATTTGCGAGCACACTCGGTGTAGAATCCGTATGACTGGGTGACGCCTCGCGACTCGTGGTTGCCGCGGATGAGGTGAACTCGTTGAGGGTATCGCAATTTAAGACACACCAGAAGTGAGATGGTCTCCACGCTAAAAAGGCCGCGGTCGACATAATCGCCTGTTCATTCTCTTATCAGCAACACTTCACAACAAAAGCGAGCAACAATATATCCAAAGCCGAGGCATCCTCTAACAGAGCGTTCTCCGGGTGTGACTAACCGAGGAATAGGTAATTGGTATCCGGACAGAAGCCGCCGATCTTGAAGATCTCGATCATATCAAAAAATTGGCCATGAATGTCGCCGACCACAGTGACTGGAGCAGCAATATGTACCACATTGCTTTCCTTCATCAAAAGTTCCTTCGCTTTGAGGCAGATCGCCTCGATTACCGAGTCTGCGAGCAGCTCTTTCCGGTAGAGCCGGGCGATGCACTCATCGAGATCGATATTCGCTATAAAGTGACAGGTTAGCATAAGCATGGACATAACCACAAAAATAACCATATCTTAGAATAAAAAAATCATGCACATACTCGGTAGACCAGGCATTGTGGTGAGATGGAGATACAGTGGCTTCCAGACAAATGAGCGACAACGACTCCTCCTGGAGATGGTCCTTCTCAATAAATGATAGAGAGCTCCCTGTACTGGGTTCCTGCGTCAAGATAGACGAGTGCAGAGAGCTAAAGGAAGGTAATATTCGAGAGGATGAAGGACGAAGGACGGGGTCGAGATGAAAGGTTAAAAAGACGACAATAAAAGAAATAGGTGCGTCGATCTAGCAGCAAGCATCCTGAGTGCAGCCAATCCTCGTTTCAGGTGCAGAGGGGAGGCTCTGGAATTAAAGATCGAGGCGACATCAGAGCCAAATTGCGGGATGAGCTCAGGCACATGAGCGCGGCTATACCCACACCGCTTTTGTTCCTTGACGCCTGAATTACAAGGCCAAAATTGCCCAACAACCAGAGCGACATGAGCCAAGAATTTGCGGTCTACTCCGTACTAGCGATTGATCTCAACACCTGGTAAGTATATTAGCCACAGCTAGTAGTTTAACACCATCTAATTCAGCGTGGGACTAGGATGATGAACATATCAACGCGCAATAACCACTTTAGACCAAAATCCTCCCCAGACTCCTCCAAGTTGGCTGCTACCAATTCGGAACACTTGTACAACAGTGCAATATAATTATGACGCCCAAGTCAGAGTATCCATAGAATTCAGTGCAGTAGCATAGGGCACCTGCTTCCGTCGATAATCTTTTGACTTTTGCCATCTATCTAATAAGGGGAATTATTTCTCTGCTGAAGCCTATTTTTACTATGCGAACACAGACTACACGTTCACCACAACAAAGTGTTTATATCTTGGGTACTTTCTGTATACAATAGAAGGATATATGCATTCTCAAGTAATCGAAGATACCCCGTGGACCTAGGGAGGCACATGCGCTTTTAGGGTTGGGCGGAGCTCGGGAAGCGCCCCGCACCGATCCCAAACGGGATTAGCTCGATTTTCACAAAAGCATATATCTTGGCACTAACCCCGGGCTACGGCGATGTAACTTTTCTCATGTCTGTGCCAAGTATCAGGGCTAATCATCATCGCTCAAAAAAACATACGTAGGTATTCAGTATGATTTTTATACTAGAGAATTGCATTACACCTAAAAGGTTTAAATATCTACTTTAACTTTGTCCCACCGCGAAGTGGCAACCCTCCCATCCTTGATCACAGCCAGAATATGCTCCTCCACTCGATCCAGAATGGTGATATCATTCAGCGGATTTTCCTTCAAGATCAAAAGATCAGCCACAAATCCCTCGTGAACCTGACCCAACCTATCTTCCTGCATAACAAGGCGAGCAGCATTGACAGTAGCACTGCGTAGAATCTGTAATGGCGTCAAAACCGAGCTGCGCACCGAGAACTCCTTGCTTTGAGCAAAATGCATCGGACCAAGAAGATCAGTTCCAAAGCAGACAGCCACACCCGCATCGACAGCCATCTTCATAGACTTCAATCCCTTGTCAAGAACCTCCTCATTCTTAGCGGCGCCATCAGCAGACAGGAAATTCATCTGCTTAGACATGACATGGGTAATGAGCGTCGGAGTCAAGAAAACATCCATCTCCGCCATCATCTCCGCCGTCTCAAGATCAATAAGGTTTCCATGCTCGATACCGCGCACCCCAAGCTTGATAGCCAGTTGGATCGCCTGTGGCGTGTAGCTATGACTCGTAACATATGTTCCCGCGTTCCGTGCAACGGTGACAATAGCCTTAATCTCTTCATCTGAGAACTGCACATGTTCAATACGGTCCGTGGGGCTGGCAATACCGCCGCCACCCATGATCTTGATAAAGTCCGCTCCCTGGCGCAGCTCCTCACGTGCATACTTGTAGCACTCCGTTGGGCTATCGACAATCCTGCTGATTCCGGAGATAGAGCCACCACAGCAGAGCTGGGTATCGTGGGCCCCGCGCAAGTCGCCGTGTCCACCGGTTTGGGAGAGTGCGTGTCCAGCGATGAAGAGACGAGGGCCTGGGATCACACCGTCGTCGACGGCTTCTTTGATTGCAAGGCTTGCACCACCACAGTCTCGGATTGAAGTGAAGCCTCGATCTAGCATGGATTTGAGCACATATGGCTGGCGCAGGAGACTGACTCGCTCGCTTATGTCTTTGTAGGCTTGTAGATTGGCTTCGCCGGGAGCTACTGCGACGTGGACATGGCAATCTATCAGGCCTGGGCACAGGAATTTTCCGCTCAGGTCAATTACATTTTCTTCGGGAAGGTTATCTGTGGCGGTAGTTGAGCTTGCTGTGACGATTTGAGTAATCTTGCCTTCTGAAATGCGGACTGTAGCATTCTGAATCAGCTTTCCCTCAATTGGATCAACAATGGTGGCGTTCACAAAGACCAAAGTTCTTTGAGGATTGAGCTTCCAGGGTTTGATAATTCGGGAGATGTCCATGTTTGAAGTATACTCCTTGCCAATTTTCTTTGGGGAGAGTTGTATGAAAACAATCCATATCCGACTAGGCAACCATATCTTTCAGGTAGGTATGGTAGCACTGCAGGAGCACGTAATGAAAGAACCTATCTCAGCTTTTAACTGGAAGTCCGGGGAGTCCGGGGAGACCGGACCTTTATATAGAACCCACGTTCCGCCTTGGCTGTTTTGATCTCAGCCGATTTGCGCTAAATCCGTTGGATTCTTTGTCAACGGCTCACCCGCATTGGAGTCGGCTGGTATAGCCAGTGAAAAGCAACAAAGGCGAGGGGCATCATGAAGCGATTTGCTCCTTCGGTAATAAAGCTCACTAGCCGCTGATTTGCATTGTGATGATTCTCCCCACGTTGTGGACGGAAGATCATTTGCCTAGACGCATAGGCAGTGAGCATGTCTGCGTAGGCAGATAGCAAGAAGAAAGAGAAGAACCACAGTCTAAGTTCCGTATGTTCAACAACCCTCTAAGTGACTATGCCATGAACTAAAATTACTCTGAAAAAGAAATCATTCAAATTCAATATTTTCCTTATTTTCAATATACCCAAAAGGTTGTCCAAACAAGCCAGCATCTATACATGTGGCCATCATTTGAACAATTTAACGAAGCAACTGCTGTGCTTCTTTATGAACAGCTTCTGTTTCAGAATCAGTCTCTTCTTCAGACTCATCATCTTCCTCCTCAGAGCCAGACTCTTCTTCCGAGTCCGTCTCCTCTTCCTCCGAATCAGTTTCGCCTTCCTCGGAATCCGTTTCAGACTCTGTCTCGGTTTCCTCCTCCTCCTCCTCTTCCAGCCACTGATCAAGAGTCTTCTTCCCAGCCGGGTCTAAATGCATAGCTGGACCGTTTCGGCCCCGACTTGGAAGAGAAGTGGTTTTGTGTTCACGAAGTGCTTTATCAAGACGGTCACCTGCAGTCATGGAGGTGGTGTTGCTAGAAGTGTCTGGTTTCACATCTTCGGTGCGGAGGCTGGGGTCGGGTTCCTGGCCTGGCTTAACCCAGTCTGGGAGATTCGTGTAGCCTCGAAGTCCGTG